ATATCCTTTCCACATTCACCTCTGGCAGCCCTGAAACCAGGATGAATACCAGCAAAGACTTCGGAAACACCAAAGTCGGTGATCTTGAGCTTGCTATCCTTGGTTATCAATAAATTCTCAGGTTTGATATCTCGATGAGCGATTCCGTTACTATGAAGAAATTGAATGCCTTGAATAAGTTGCTTGAATAAACATTGACGATCCTTTAGATGGTCCTCCTTGTTGAGGTACTTCTGATTGATGAGACTGAATAGATCTCCTTGTTCGCAGTACTCCATCACATGATTCCACCGACCGTTATGTGTACAAAGTCGAAAGGTCTGTACGATGTTTGGGTGACGGGCAGCTTTTGCGATCGAGTATTCCGATTTAACTTTCTTTTCATAGTCTTCTTCCTTTTCCGTTGTAGACTTACCACGGAATTCTTTCACAGCAAATATATTGCTTGTGTCATTCTTGACGACAAGTTTCACATGGGCTGTGGCACCTTTACCGACCTGTTTTCCACGACGTCCTATGAATGTAGTTTGCTGATGGTATTCTTCATCCAATTCTACGACATCAACAAGGAGGTCATCTGGTAGACTCATGCTCATACGTCTTGATTTCAAACCAATTCCAGTCTCGGCCGGCATGGCCCAAGGCTCTCGCAACATCTGCTGCACCCCTTCCGTGGCAAAGCCATTATTCAAATCCCAATCAACGCTTGTGGCACGTTGAGGGGCTTTGGATTTATCTTCTATTGCCGATGTATCAAAAGCAATCTTGGGTCCATGATTCTGAAACACATTCATCAGGGTCATGCTTAGACCCGTCGAAGATCTTTGTTTCTTAGTCATATTGAGGTTCTCGCTTGGTCGTATATTTGAGAACAAGTTTTCTTGCGATAATTGCGTTTCTGATGGAGTGCTGGGTGAAGGTGGTGTATTCGTACGGGAGGTAAATGCTGTGGTAGAAGTTGACGCTCGTCCGATCGACATTCGGCGATGCTCTTTGCCTAACATTGGATCGGAACCATTATTATTTTTAAGGGTAGTGGGGTTTGTAAGATTGGTCTGGTCATTCAAGACAGTTGTACTTAAAGTTCCAATTTGAGAATTTGACCTCTTGAACAACTTCGAAACTTTACCTCTCAAACCCGAGTCTTTTGTAGGGAATGTTGGCCTTTTCGAAAGCGGAGCTGTAGTAGAAGGTGGGTCTGTGTTTCCTCTGATGGATTGTGGAGAGGAGAATGATGTCTGCGCGTTCGATCGAGGTGGAGGAGTCGCAATAGTATTGACTACTGTAGGAAGTTGAATTGAAGATGGCGGAAGCTTACGAATAAGATCGTGAGTAATCTCACCGCCAGTGAGTACTTTAGGATTTTGGTGAGGATTTTGGAACTCTGTAGGAGTTACTGGCTCATTAATAGCTTCACTGCTGGTCTCGTACTCGTATTCTTCGGGAATGGAATCGACTTGACGAGAATCTATCGAGGAAGGTCGACTCGATTCTGCAGAAGCAGAGTTTGATTCAATTTGAGGAGGATGAGGTAATTGATTCGAGATATTAGGAAAAGCGGAAGACAATGTAGGGTGAGTAAGTGGTAAAGTAGTGGTCGCCATGATTGCTAATCTGGTGAGCTGACACTGTACTTTGAGACAAATCAACGAAAGAGTCAGGAAAGTGCGAATGACGAGTAAAAGTTTGACGGTTCTGAATTTTGAATTTTGAAAGTTTGTGCCAGTAATCCAATTACTAGTATAATGTAGTAAGTTAACTCATGAGCTAGTTGAATCGAGTAGCGTGCTAAGAGGAGTAGTATAAAGTTTCTCTTGAAAGGACTAGGTCTGGTTTTGGTCTGGTCAATGGGGAAATGCAGTATCCGTGAGACCGTTTAAATGTCTTGTAATCGTTCGCTAGTAGTTCTGTAGATCTAGAACTTCTAATCTGCTTCAATTGTATTGCAGTATCTTTGTGAAGTGTATCTTCTCGAAAGTGTGAATAATGCGATAGGATTGACTGATTTCGCTTTCTCTCCGGGGGGATTGAATATAAATTAAAAGAAAAGAAACATAATAAAAAGGATCGGAATAATCTCGCTGATGAGAGAGAAAAGTAGCAATGATGTAGTTCAAATCCAAGGACTGGATGAATTCTTAGGAAGAGGCCGTTGACCGCAGTCAAAGGAGGGGAGGGAAATGGATCTAATAGGTTCTTGTTAATTGCAAAGACGAGGCTTGATGCATAGAAGGCTTGGTAGAAGCAATAAACCTGCAAACTTGTTGTTGAGAATTAAGAGAAGGGTGCGGGGTGAGAAACAATTAAAAAGTGATCTATGTATCTTACATCTGAACGAATAGAGCTTTGGAGAAGATCTTGGTTGATGCGGAGCAGGAGGAGGTGAATGGCGAAATATGGATTCGTGATACCTTGATTGAAAGGCAAAAGCAGAGGCAAAGGCAAAGGCAAAGGTAAAGAAAGGTAGGCAGGGGTGGCTTTGCATGTGCAGGCGTACGTATAAAATAGTAATAAGTAATAGTAATACCTAGTACTGTGAAAATATGCGGGCTGATCGCAAAATAATAATGCTTGCTGTCTCGGGGTCATACAAGAAGAATAGAAGAATGTTGTTTTGCGAACAAAATGGTTTTTGGTTGCGTTGCCTTTCTCCCGTGCTAGATAACGACGACGATGACTTTGGGTTGGCTTTTTGGCTTTTGGCTTATGATTCTTCCACTTTTAACTTCCGTTTTGATATTAAATGCCGTATCAATATTTATATTTCTCATTTGCCTTTGAAATTATGTATCGGTCTAATAGAGATATCCATCTACCTCCCGACCGGTACTTACGTATTGACTTGTCTCTACCGGATATAAATCGACGGAAAGACGTGATTCTACTGTTGAAATTACTTATTTTTATTTTTATTCTTCTTATCAATTATATCTCCGAAGTAAGAACAAAGGGATCTTTCATTGAGTTGAATATAATTCGTCAATAATGGAGTGTCAATATTCAATTCCTCTTCAATGAGAAGAGACAAGAAAACGGCAACTCCATGCCGAGAGATTGGCCCATGGACTTCGTCGAGGAATGGTTCAAAAGGGGTTTCTTCTAACCTCTCTGTCAATTTTCTCATGGTACGAAGGGGGGAATTGAATGCTACATAATGCATGCAGAGAATGCCAAAACGTACAGCTGATTGAGCTGAAAGATGTCTGGATTTGATGTTGATGTTGATATTCATATTTTTATTGTCATTGTTATCGATGAATCGAGACCATTTCAGAACACCTCTTCGCTTATTTCCTTTGCTTTCGTTTCTTTCCTTCCATTCCACCGTGATTCCGCCCTCCAATATGTAGGTCCCTACCTACTTATTAATTGTTACATTACATGCATACTACCAATATCTTATCTCATCCTTTCAAAACTACATATACTCAAATATGAAGTTATTCCAATCAATTCCTCTATATCCCGCGCAATGAACCCTACAACTCTTGCAGCTTTTAATTATTACAACACTGTCACTTACCTCACCGACCTTCTTTCCGAGTACAGTTATCTTTCTCTGAAGGCTGGTTACATTGGGAAGAATATTACCTCGATACTACATTGTATGAGCCAAGCCAAAGTACAACACTTAATAGTACAGTACACGAATGGCACTTCTCGTTTTCGAGGCTTATGGTACAATTGACTTTCATATTTTGCTGGACGTTGAATTGTTGAATCGCCAAGGCAGGTAATCTTCGATAATAGATCTCCAATCTGTCTCTTAATATGAAAGCCAAGAGAAAAGTAACCGTCGGTATTGCATTGCACGGAATGAACAGCGGATTGAGGGACGCCTTGTATACCTTTGCCAAGGCTTTATTGTCATCAAACGGATATCAGAAATGGAGCAGACGATATTATCACGAAAAGGGTCTGTCTCTGCAGATAGAATTGTCCAAGTGATGATACATTAGTTACTATCTGCACTTTGAACAAACAGTCAATCCATCTTCCTGGCAACTGGTTTCCAATGTTACTTTTAAACGGTACCGAGCACATCTAGACCTCCCCACCGAAACAGTCCAACCATACGGAAGAATTATCTACATTAGATGTTATGCTGAGAAGATGTTGTGTGTATGAGGTAGAAGAAATGAGAAACGCTAGAAAAGTTGGGGGTCACCAAATTGTTCTATCGTCTAGGAGGAACTAGGGATCTTTTCATGCATGATGTGCATGCAATAGGTTTCTAGCCTTTTGATGTCCGTCGTCATGTCTGCTTCTAGATCCGAGTCACCCGAAGAAGAAAATACGCTGTTGATCATTTTCATTGCTCGGTCTTTGAGGGAGTCACAGGTGCTTCACAATGTCGTGAAATCACAGTAACTCAACGAGTTACCACCGAGCTTACTTGTCAGCCAGCGCCTGTACTCTAGGAGAAATGGAAAGGTTGTGTCCAGACAGGCATGGAACAATATCATATCCATTGAACAACCTCTCATAAGGCAGACGGAGCAGGCAAAAATCTGGTCACTATATGTTTTGAGATCTTTATGATTCATATATCTTGACGCCTGCATCAGTATCCTTGAAAGATTCCGCTTCTCAGATATCTCAACAAGTCACTACTTGACTTTGTTAAAGTTATATTCGGCCAAGAGACCTTGCGCATGGGGTGGCTATAATTATTGTGATACCGAAATCGCTCTTCTTTTCAACAATCCTAATCCTCCTACTCTGTTTTTACAACAGACAACGGGTGCAACTGATTCACAACATTAGTGGGTTCGAAAATCGCTCTTCTTTTCAACAATCCTAATCCTCCTACTCTGTTTTTACAACAGACAACGGGTGCAACTGATTCACAACATTAGTGGGTTCGAAAATCGCTCAAATGTAAGCCTCATTCGTTGTCACAACACGGGACCATCAAGGTTAAAATTAAGCAAAAGTCGGTCGCTCCTATGTAGAGTACACTATGATACTTCTATGGAAACCGACAGTTATTTGCAGTTATGTATTTGACTTCAAATCACATTTTGGCGATGATGGCAAGATCCCAAGACCCGCAAGTAGGTCAAATGAGGTATCACAAAGTGCTTCTATGCCAAGTGATCATCATTTTGCCCCTTGCCCCTTACACATTCTCTTTAATCAATATCTAGTTGTGCTAATCTAATGAGTCTTGGGAGGTATGTGGTTTTTGGATCTCACGATACTTGCACAAACGTTCATCCTCCAGTCTAAAGGACCCGTCTCCACAAATGTGATGGGGCGACAGTTAGACTTTAGACCTCAATTGGGATTAGTTGATTGTCAAACATCCTTGAGTACCGCCGACAACCCACTAAAGTATGCACGTACCATGGCGGGGTATTGACCCCACCAGCTGTACTGTAGCGTTGCCAACTGCCAACTGGTAGTGAGTGAAAGGGAACGTCAAATGGAAACATGGAGCTTTGAATTTAAGACCTTTGGGATACACATGCCAAATATGAGATGGGGCTGGATCTTGGAGGAGAACCTTGGAGCCTTCGCCAGATGTCATCCAATAGATTGATTACCGCACAACTCGACACTTTGAACACCACGCGCCTTTTCTTATGACTTGTCAGCTTTCATTCCGGAGCAATCATTGAAGCTCGTGGGCATCCATATTACCTAGGCAATCTACAAGGCGATTGAACAACGTCTATAATTCAATACAATTTGAATTTATGTCCTGTCCTGTCATGATCTTCAATCTTCAATGCCTATGCTTAGCATTGTGATCAAATCCTGACGCCGATGGCTTGTCATGTACAACCACCATTCGAATTTTAACCGACGTCTTTTCCCGAACCTTGGGAATTCTTCCATTTCTAGAGCGATGACAGCCACATCCATCGCTCAAAATCAATTCAGCACTCATCGAATTCTTCCGTCATATATTTTATTCTTGGCTTTCCTATCAATTCCTTATTCTTCCAAACAAGCTTTCTTCTCCAGAAGAATCCAGACACTCTAAATACTGTACCTGCACGATTATGCATGTATCTGAATGTGGTCATATCGTGCATGCAAAGTCAACGGGGAGTATTGGAATCTTATTTTACTACACCCGTAGCTCTCAGCATCACTCAAGACAATCAGAATACGAGCATCTCCACAATTGCGTACTTATATTAAAAGTATCTAGGTCTCAATCTATTAATTCTCAGCTCGTTAACGTACAGTAAGTAGCTCTTACATTATCCAATGTCTTTACGACACTTCATCCATACTCGGTTTGAAAGCCTCAAGAAAGTTATCAAGAAGCGGTCAACCGGAGTAACCTGGCCTAGAAACCTCAATTTACGCCACAAATGTCGCAAGCAAAATCTCTTATATCCAATAAGGAAAAGGTCAACGCGTATCCAAATCCTTCCGTGAGGCATTTAAGCCGACCACGTTTTCCAGTGTAGTTAATGTTGCTAGCCATACCTTCCCGTATTATCTAATCCATCTCCACTGGTTATTTCAATTAACACACCTTAGGCTGATGGTAAATCCCTTAAGCCTATCCGGAATCCACCTTCCCGGAGCGCGAGAGAGAGATGCATAAAGTTTATGCAGCTTCATGCGCATAAGTCGCGTGCCAAAACATATTTGGGTGACTCGGTATGACCGAACTAACAATCATCTGATCTTGTGGTCAAGAATGTATGTAGGGAAAATCTTGGTAGCAGACTTTTCATGTGGTGAAAAAATTTCACAATTCTTTGTCAGGGAAGAATTATTGATCGGGCTTGAAAATTGAACCTCTTACCTTTGCACTTCCGTATTTTACCTATTTTGAGGGATCTATCGGTATGGAAAGTTCCTTTCTGCTAGATGATCTGCATTGAGCCGAGATCGGGCAGTTGCAGGATACTCGTGGGTATTATTAACGGACCTCGGATCGTTGTTCCTATGCTTATAGTTTCATATATGATTGCTTGATGTATATGCACCTGCTTTTGTCGTTTCTATCTATATGCGTTGTTCTTTGTAGCATGTTATCAGGTTTGTGAAACATGGATAAGGCTGGGCTTGAGATGCAAGATTCATCTCAGGTTGATGCGTGGGGGTGAGAGTGGGTGTTTAAGTATTGAGATATTCTATTACTTGCGATTTTTCACATCCATCAAAGTGTTGTTGATCTATCGGCATGTCGGTATATACGTACAGCATCTTTGTTTGTTTCTTTTATGTCTCTGTATGTTTATGCGCATCTCAACATTCAACAACATCCCTCATGTAATTGGAATATTCGGTGAGGATCCTCCTTTGAAGAAGCATTGAAACGACGTAGTTCCTCAATCACACGATCACTTTTACCAATATTTATTAGTATGCGCGTTCACATCAGTTGTTCTAGTTCTTATCTCATGTTTTGTTTACCCACCTTGATATCTTCACTAGCAAGAAATTCAATATTCCTGTAAGTTTTGACAATTTTTAATCTTGTTGCATGTTTGAATATTCAATAACACGTATGATTCCCTCACTTTTTACGTTTGATTCACCTCACAAAATACCAAATTATCTTCTAAGATTTTGAATATTCATATTAGTGAAGAAGGATTGAGAGCTTCACAGTGCTACGTCATGTCTATCAAGTTCTCCTTAAGGATGGTACCCATGGCTTTAGGAGAGACGTCGTTGACTTCGATTTCGTTCTTCAAAAAAGGATTATTGTGTATCAGAACTCTTAACATTCATTGGGAGTATGTGCTAAGCACTATGTTAACAATTACTGTACCGGAAGTATTTTGATGATACAATAACTTGATCCATGTTCAGTGATTGTGAGATACTCAAAACAGCTATGAGGCTTCTGATCCACACAGCACTCACAAGCTTCACCTTTTATATTTATAATTGTAGCCAACTGTTTTGATTACACTGAGTATCGAAACAGAATGAATTAAGTGTTTACTCTATTTTATCAAGTGTGTTGTTGTAAAGAATGATTGTGTCTCTTGAATTTTCCAAATTGCCCCGCATCTTATCTCACTCCATTCATGTGTCTCCTTGCGTTGCTATATCATATTAAAATATAAATTACCATCGACCTCTGATTCTTCGTTCCTTTGTCCGAATATATTAGAAAACTTTACATGGATTATTCAATTTGTAATGCGGTTCGCTAGGTAAGGATGGTGAACAGATGATATGGATACTGATAAACCCTCCCCCTTTTCCATTCTTCATTTCTACCTTTCGAAATCTTCTTGAACATTCCTTTCTTTTCCCTTCACCTTAATTCTCTCTCTCTCTCTCTTCCTATCTAATGAATGGAGATCTTTTATTCATTGATCTATTCATATCTTTTTCTTCTTCTTTTTCTCCAGACCTCAATCCATCAGAGAGTATTCATTCCTAAACTATTCTATCCTGCCCATTCAATACTATACGCAAAAAATCAAACAGCCCAGATAGATAAATCAAAACATCATCAACCCACTTACTAACTCAATCATGAAACAAAATGAACCCTCTCCGTCTCTCGTCCTCTCTCCCCTTTCTCCAAAAGACAAGGCCCCCACCAAAAAATCAATCCTGTCCTCGGAGAGACTCGAACTCTCGACCTTTGGATGGCACAGTAATTGTTATCAACTACCTCACATAGAAATATGAGACCAACGCTCTAACCAACTGAGCCACGAAGACTTATTGTGATTGATGCGGCGGGGAATTTTATGTAAAACTATATTGTAGAGATTTGGGGTAGTGGAAAATGGAGTAAATAAATATGGAAAAAAGGTTTTTTTTTGCCGCGTCGGTGGGTTTCGTTGGTGGAGTGGCGGGTGGAGAGGGTCGGAGAATTTTATTTTTGGTGGGAGAGGACTGGAATTGTGGGTTGGGTTGGATAGGTTGGATAAGGCTTGTAAGTCGTAAGGGTAAGGGTAAGGGTAAGGGTAGGGGTATTGAGGTGTCCGTCCGCCCCCCTTTTGACCCACTTGGAGCCGCTTAGGAAGGGAGATGAATGTAGAGTAGTGTAGTGTAGTGTAGTGTAGTGTAGTGTAGTGTAGTGTAGTGTAGTGTAGTGTAGTGTAGTGTAGTGTAGTGTAGTGTAGTGTAGTGTGGTGTGTGATATGTGTTTGGTTGGGAAGCGATATGTATGGACTGGATGCATGTGTGTATATATATATTTGTACTGGTATGTACTTCATATACTTCATATTCATACTTTATATAAATGAAAATGGAAATGAAAATGAAAAATAAAAATTACTACCTACCTGAGATAATAATTGTTAAAGCTTCTACTGATAGATAAAATGGATTTTTTATAAGAAAGAGGAAGGAATACTAGGAATTGAAGATTGCAAATGGAATTGAGATTTATTTATATTTACTTATCAATATTTCAGAAGTGAAATGTGAAGAGGAGGGATTTATTGATAGATTGATAGATAGATTGATAGATTGATTAATAGATTAAATGAAGTGAAAGGAGGGAGTTAGTATTGCGATTTACTACGGGGTTAGAAGATGGAGGATGGAAGGAGAGGGAAGTTATAAGGGAAAGGAGAAAGGCATGAGATCAATGAGTTGATGACATGTGTATTGAAATAAACAGATAGTACTCTGTTGTGATTTGGAGATTCGTAAATCTAAATACAATCTCTTGGAAATATTAATGAGAGGTTGTGTTTTACTTTTTTCCTCCTTACTTTGTTTTCCTTTCTCTTCACTCCCTCTTCGTTCCTTTTCCACTCTATTCCTCCCCTTGGTCCCATACAATTTTACATACATCTCGATTCCTATCTACATACCAATTGAAAACTAGCGATGAATCTCTCATTCTCATTCTCTAGTTATTCAGAGTCTCAGATCAGAGTTTTGGGGACTGGGGGATTTGGGTGATGAGCTCCCAAACTCGCAAATTAAACCTCTCAAAATCTCGAGAAAATTTCTTAAAGGTTCGAGATTAATGGATGGACGGATGGATGGATAGATGGATGTTGTATTGTGTATAGCCAGGCCACTATCTACCTCATTATTCATCCACTCAGATCTACACCTCACCTCACCACACCTCTACACTTCCTAAACAACTAACATCTAAAGAACTTGGGCAGTAGATTACAATCGTAACCTCATAATCACATATGAGTACTTCCACTTCACCTCACCTCCCCTCACCTCACTCTACATCACCTCCCCTCACATCACCTCCCTTCACATCACCTCCCCTCACATCACCTCCCCTCACATCACCTCCCCTCACCTCAACACCCCCTAAAAAAACACAACGTAACATCTACAACGACTATGACAAAGACACCGAAAACACCAAATCCGAGTAATCCAAGTAAGTAACACACAAAGCATACCCAACAGCCATCAACCCAAAGATGATGAACTAAATTAGATTTGTTTCCATAGACTACCTATACCATATTACTATTCAGATACTCAGGTACTAGACCCCTTTGTGAGATATAAAAGTTAAAGGTCAAAGATGAAAATGGTGTTTTTATTAGTGAGACGGATGTGAATGTGAATGTGGATATGAATGCGAATAGTAATTGAGTGATTCTACCACATGGAAATTAAGGTATACAGTATAGGAATAAGAACGAGAGCAAGATCGTAGAATCTCTCTCGAGATGACATTATCATATCACATTGCATCGCAAGAACAAGAAGAAGAGAGGGAGTAGTCAAATTCATAATCATAATTATAGTATATATTAAACTTAAATATTTAATATATATATACACATAAATTCTACTTCATAATGCTCAATCCCACCTCACCTTACTCCATCTTAATTTGTCTCTCTTTATTTCTCTTTATTCATAACATTATTTCCATATTATCCCTATATCATTCCAACATCATACATACATACACAAACATCATCCCATGTCATTTCCATGTCATTCCCAGTCCACACCATACCCTATCAGAGTGAGCCAGACCAAACCAAACCAACCCAAAACCCGCACATCATCATATCCATCTCCATCCTCATCCCCATCCTCATCCCCGCTCCGCAAAATCCCTCTCAAAGTCCCAAATCTTCAAAGTTCACATCCGTGAAACTGTATATACATATCCAGCTGCAATCGAAACCGAAACCGAAACCGAAATCAAAACCAAAACTACATCCAAATCATACATCGCCAAAGCAAATCTGTCTTATCAACATTATCCTTCCTCTTTTCCTTCATCGCTTCCATTCATTCCATCCGTTACCCGCTTCGTTCCTCGCCACAGCAATATATTCCCCTTCCTCCTTTCTCCTCCACCCGCTTCCCCATACAAACCCCCTATAAACTACGCATACTAAGTATACCAGAACCCTCTCATTAAATATTAAATCCATAATCTCTCTTTCCTTCTCTCTCCCAGCATCGCTCCAAACCCCATCCCCATCGAAACAAATCCAAGCCCACAAACAAATAGATAAACAAACAATCCCCTCGAGAAATTCCCCATTAAGTATTAAGTATACACTCAATGTACACTGAATCAACAGAAAGAGAAAGATTGAACATGGAAGAATAAAGAAAAGGATGCAAAGAAAAAAAGAAAAAGAAAAAAATTATCAGAAGAGATCAATTCGTACAGGAGAAGGCCGAAGGACGTGAATTGTGTTCGAGAGAGGTTGAAGAATCAAAAAGATTATTAGGGCCCGTAGGTAGTTCTGCCGTACTTTCTCTCTCTCTGCTTGCGAGTAGAACCATGGTATGACCGCGAGAGAGATATATATCGCTATTAAATAAGAAGAATCCGCCGAATTGATTTTGTTTCAAATCTCGATGACGGGATGAAGAAGAGGAAGAATAGCAATTCCATTAATCCTGACTCAATTTTAGAGTTCCCCCAAACAGTCGCCTTGCAAACAGGCCTGTTTCCCAGTTCGCAAAGTGGGCAAACACTACATCTCCCATTGTCTTTTTCTTCAATCGTCGACCTTTTATTTAGGTGCGGCCCCTCTCAAGCTCTGTCCCAAGTGACTCGCGGCAATACTACTAGCCGCCCTCTCACTCCTTCTTCTATTCGCACCACTAATCCTTTCACTCCCACTTCCAATACCGCTAATACTCTCAGCCTGCTTCCCAGTCTCTCTCATGCCCCTCGGACTCTCCCTCTTCCCCCTCGGCTTCAACCCCTCATTCCCCTTACTCTTTCCGCTACTAGCAGAACGTCTCTTCTCCCTACTCCTCTCACTAACACTCCTCACCTCACTCGCTATACTGCTTAGACTCGAAATCCACGACGCCGTATCCCTCTCCTTACTTCCCAAACAACTTCCACCCCCCGATCCCTATCCACCCTCCCAATTTTCAATTTGCGCAAAATCCTCCTAATCGCTCCAATCGGCTCACACAAGTAAAAAATTCCCATATCATCAAACAGTGAAATCCATTCCACATTACATAATTCTAGAAGCGGTTTGCATAGCATCAAAATTCCCAGGTCATCTAAGAAATTGAGGAATTCGAGTGCAATGGGAGGTGCTTGAGTCGAAATGAGTGTGGAGGCGCTCGAGAGAGTTGCTGGGTGTGAAATGGTGTATGGAGGAGAAGGTGGGAGACGGGTAGGAGCTGAAGCTTGAGGGGTAGGAAGGGCTATGGTAGAGGGGAAAGCAGCGGGGGAGCGGGAGTGCGATACACGTTCATTGGATGTATTGTTTGTGGAGTGGGAAGGAGGACGGACGTGGCGGGATCGATGGGATTGATGTTGGGTTTGGTCAGCGAGTCGAGGTTTGCCTAAGGAATCGACGCTACCATTGGAGATTGGGGAGTGGAGGGTGGATGCTGTTGAAGGGCTGCGGGTAGAGGAATCATGATGGGTCTGTGTACGTGTGCGTCTACGTTCGCGTTTACGTTCTGGGTAGACATAAAGTGATGGTGGTGGTGACATTGATGATTGGCTTAAGCCTGGATGTCTGAGGTATCGAATGGATTGTCTGGTAGAGGCGCTGGCTGTATGTAAGGAAGATCGTTGTTGCGGTGTGGATTGGTCTTTAACAAGAGATGTGATTGAATTAAAAATGTATGAGGTGGCCACGCAGTGAAAAATCGAATATAAAAGATAAGGAATATGCAAGTCAAGTCAACCGTTGGCAAGTGAGCAAGTAGAAAACACTTAATTGAAGAGATGTGGATTGACAAATATCAACCAATTCAAATACATACAGAGCAACACGAAAATGAAAATGATTGAACAGAGAAAGGAGAACTTTCTGGACCTTTAAAACTCGAGAAACTATATAACACTCATCGCCCACCGAGTTGAAAATCTCCATGTTACCATCGTAATAACTTCATCATCTCTATCACTTTTTCAAGAGAGGAGGATCCAAAACCAAGACATTGAGGCTCTATTTAGAAGATCATGGAAACGTGACTATTCACCGTTCGTTTCGTTTGGTTCTTTTGGAGGCGTATCTCTGCCCAAACTGCTGTGGCCCCTTCTCCCAATTACTCAATTCTATTACTGGCGACTTCGCTGGCAATTTGACCCTCCTAGACCTTTCCATTTATGAACATACCCACCTTGTTCACGAGGATGTAAAGTAATTTATTTTTCTCGCCTCATTGATTTCCATTTGATATAGATCTCTCGTCCATCGGATGGCTGTACACCGTACGATTGTCATTCAATCAGAAGGATATAAAATATGGATGTGAAAGAATTCGGAACGATTGGCAACACGTTCGTAAATTCGGGGGCGGGAAAATAATTGTGTACTCTGTACCTATCGGCTTTTCTTTCTACTTCGGCTTTGATAGAATGTGTACTCAGGCATTCATACAGCCTTATTAAGAGAAAAATGGAGAAAGGAACGAAGAAGTTATGGAGACGACGGGCAAATCTGATTCTCGCTCGTGCGCCTCGATAGAAAAGAGATGGATCGCTTGTGACGTGTTCAGGGGAGATTTCCTTGGGAATTCTTTGGGTCATAGTGAAGAGTGAAAAGAAGCTAAGGCAGAGCCCTGAAAATCCTTTCTTCCTCTTTGGGTCTTTGATCACTTTAAGGGTTAGGGATTGCAGGACACGGATGGGATGGGACGTGGATGGGACATGGGCGAGATGGGGAAAAATAGGATTGACGGATTTATTATTTGAAATTGGATGTCTGATGTCTGATCTCTGGAAATAGCTACCTCGTAAATGGTAAATGGCAAAAGGAGATCTTCCGGTAGATATATTAAAGTATCATGTGTGTGTAGGATCCATCGATCTTGTGATGAGAAGAAAAAGGAGGGGAGGATGGGGAGAATGGAGAAAAAGGGGAAATATGGAGAAAGGATATGGAGAAAGGGAGAGAGGGAGAGAGGGAGAGAGGGAGAAAGGGAGGCAAAAAGGAAGAGAAGACAGAAAAAAGAACCAAAATCATCAAAATATCATCAAAATATCAGGACCTGTTTCATAAAGACCCTTAATTCAAGCAATTATAATTCACGGACCGATCCGTCACTCATCATTGGTACCCAGGGAACCAATCAATTTGACACATTTGATGGATCAAAGCCGAATGGAGTGCCGGAATAATGAATTTTATGCAGTAACAGCATTATTTGCATATGCTTGAGAATAAATTGGGCGGGAGACAGCAAGGGCAAATTAAATTTGATGTATAATGACAACACACCAGAATGTGTACCGGTATGGATGGGATGGCAGATGAGTAAATACAAGGTAGTAGATAGGTAGATAGGTAGATGGAAAGGAGAGCAGAGTGTATAAGAACTTGGATATATTATGGTGGTTTATACTTATTTGTTGTTTGTTTATTAATTAAGAGAGAAATCTATCCATGACTTTGCTTCTCCAGTTCAAGTTCAAGTGATAGGGTGATGATCAGATAAGAAAGACATAAAAGAAAGAAAGAAGAAATCTCTTTCGTTTTTCCTACTTCGTTCTGACTTGATTAGGAAGTGGATCGTGCTCTTCCGTCATAATTCCGTCCCGAGGATAATTGCTGATTGCCAATTGCTACCTTACTCAAGTCACACACACACCCATACTCACACCCATACCACACCCAGACACCCAGACATCCATACACCCAGACACCCATACACCCACACATCCATCCACCCACACACACCTGCACCAGAAAATGATCAGCCTGAGCCAGTATTAGAATTTGATATCAGCTTGCGACAAGTTTTACATGGACTCATAACTAATAAGTTACAACCATCTATACCTGTACTTAGGTAGCTACTATATTGGAGGACCATTTGCTCCATTTGAAATCCATCTAATCCATCCAATCCATTCAATCCATTCTTTCAAACGATTCCACCACAAGAAATTTCCTGGGTATGACCTTATTCGTAACCCATCTAATAACATTATACAATACCATATCACATCATATCATATCATACATACCATACATACCATACCTTACCATACCTACAACACAACCATCCCCAAATTAAACAAACAACATACAGTTCAACTCTAGAAACAACCTACCAATTCTTTCGTTCCGTCTCTGCTGCAACAAGTGCTGTAAATATGGCACATTTAATTCGATTACCACTCTCTCATTCCGGCTCTACAGTCAATTCGCCAATGGCCGGTCATCTACATCACCTTGGTCAAGCTCCCACCTCCTTCTTTCCTCCCAATACCTCTTCTCCAGCACAATACAAATATCACTCATCGCCCAGCGGTGGTCCGATTTCTCCTCCTCATACCCGATCCGCTTCGGCAGAAAATACTGCTGCCGAGTTAGTCGAAGACTTCAGGAGATATTCGCACAACTTGAGAGAACAATTCGAAGGGGAACGAGCGCACATCTTGGCGGATAGGCAGCGTGCAATTGAAGTTATAGCAGAAGAACGAGAATTATGGGATAAGGAGAGAGGAATCTTGATTGCTCGAATTCGAGAACTCGAGGCAAGATTGAAAGAAAAAGGGGATGTCGTATCACCAGCTGGAATCTTCAATTTGGAATTGGCAAATTTAGGGTTCAGCCCAGCAGCGAACGTATTCACTAGTCCAAATGGTGTACCGATCATTAAAGGACCTACGAAAGCAACGGCATCTCCAGGAAGTGGAAGTACAGAATCGAAAAAATCGTCGCACGGCCACCCAGAAATAAAACAAGAGACAGGAAGAAATGCAGATGGGTCTCCATTTTACGCACCAGCACCACAAAACCCCACGAGAACATTTTCAGCAGAATCAGAAGCTCTGAGAGTGGAAGATATTCATGCGCCCAGACAAACACCAATTCAAGTTATTCAGGAGTTGACTCCGTCTGATTTTGTTGGATCCTCTCAATATGCATCACCGGAACTCTTACATCCACATCATTCTGCTGTACATTGGGAGAAGGCCGAAAGTAATAATGGTGATATCATAGGAGCTGATAGTATAGATATATCAAAAATTGCTCCACATCTCGAAGGTGTACCCATCAAAGCCAGCGCCGTAGATCCAGTATTCGTCGCACATGTTTTGAGTCCTAGGTCTGCTAGCCCGAGATTAAGTCCAAATGTCAAGCCACCAGGAAGAGATGTCGGTTCGAATTTAGGAAAACCACATTTGGAACCAGAAAATAAGAGATTAACGATGTATGCGGGTCACACACCTAATCATTCCATTTCACGCTTTTCCGATTTGGTCAAAGAGTCTCAAGAGGCGGAAGGGGATGAAACACCAAGAGGTTTTGATGGACTTGTTCATCGGGGTTCCCTAGCGCCAATTCCGGATGAAGACGAAAGAATTGCGCTCGATAGACTACTACCGGATGAAGACGATGAAGATGTTCATGATCGCCCTTTAACAGGTCCATTGTGTCTTACGAATGTTCCAGCCAGAGATGAACTCTTCCTTGAAGCACTTACAGAGAAATTGGAGGAAGTCAAAAACTCAAGACCGGGTAGTAAGGAGGTTAGCCCTACCGGTAGCGCAGGCACCTCGAGCCCGGTCTTGGAGATGAAAAAAGCGAGGAATAGGTCGATTGGTGGTGGAGGTGATGATGGGAGGGGTATGGAAGGAGAAGGACATGATTGTGAGGATGAGGATGAGGATGATGAACCGGGACCAGTTCTGTTGAAAATGAAGCCGAGTATGAATTTTGGAAGACCAATGGGACAGAGATGATTTTATCGTCGGATTTTGACAGTGGATAAGATTTTTCTGTTTGCTTTTTTCTTCCTACTCTACTGGTGTCAGATATTAGGATCGAATTCACATTTGTATAGTCGAATGGTATGATTTCAGGAGCCTCAAAAATTGGAAACTGCCCCTTTCATCTCTCTCATTTGGCGAAATTCGACGTCTTTGGCGGCCGGGTGGGATCCGATCCGATGAAAGTCAAACTCAAACCCGAACCCCAAGATTGGATGGATGGAGAACCCGCATCAAACTCACCCCTCAAGCACCATTGGCAGATGCCGGATAATGCAACATAGCCGAACAGAATGGACAGGACTCCTAGCATGGTTGCAGCGGGAAGATACTTATACGGATGATCGATCGCATGGATGGAAAGATACCCCCTTTACAAGATTTCTTTTGTCAATGGAACAGAAACAAAACGCTTGATTCGAAAGTTCTCGCATTCACATTGAACTGGTGGTGCGTGCAGACAAATATAGATGTAGCATAGCATAGCATAAAATAGCGTAGCGTCATGCAGCGTATTCGGATATACCTGTGGGGAATTTGGGCATAGCATGGTCTTACAGGTATCGCAGGCATGGCGAACAAATGGGCATAGCGAAAGCATAGTATACCCTTTGAATTGAACTATTTTTTTTCTTTTACGGAAGCATGGTTTCTTCGCTATATTGATGTAGATGTGTGTGATGGCTAAACGTCCCATTCGTTCCATTGCAATCTCACTCGGAGGTTCATTCTCATTTATTGTCGTCAAATTGTAGTGATCATTAGTATAATATAGGTAGGTAGTATAGAAAGGTTTATTGAATCGATTTGTCCATCCATTTCTTCCATCCAGGAGACCAAACTCCGTCCATATATTTTTGAGCTAGGTTCGTAGATATCTGTGTTTACCTTATAACATAGCAATTGGCAAATATACCGCCCTTCTTTCAGGCAGTTCTCGCCATGAATACTACGCGCTCCAGCTACTCAGCCCGAATATGCACTCCCACTTCCTGCCCAAGCCATCTAAGCACTCTTACAATAATTGGCTGGAAAGCTCCCTTTCACCCCCCTTATTTCTCCATCCCACCAATCATCCGTACTTCCCGTTTTCTTTGTAACCCTAATCCTATCGCCCTCTTTGAAACTCAAATCTCCTTCTCCTTGGCCCTCAAAATCATAAAGCGCAACCACAAAAACGCCTCCATGAGAAGAACCCAATCTCTTTGGGGGAGGCGGAGGAGGTTTCTTTTTTCCGATTGCGGAATTGACTGCTACGCCTTCATTGGTTGACCCGCGCTGGAAATAATCCAGAGCTGGGCCTGCGGGTGCATAAGAGGAAGAATGCGTAGAGACAGGGGTGAGATGGTTGGAGTAGTCGCTGGGAGTTGGAGTTGGAAGGGGTTCATTGTAGTCATTGTCTGAGGTTGTAGGGGGTGAGAAAACGGGGACTGTGTGTTGGGTTGAGGGAATGCGAGGACGAGAGGCAGAACGAATAGGAGGTGGACGATCGGGCCTAGGAGATCGCGCGTCGGAATATGTGGTTGAGATGCTTGGATTTGGAGAGGGGTCGCGGTTTGTGCTCATAGATTGGTTCGAGGGACGACGGGAAAATCCATTGCGGACATTGAGACCGGTTATGGATTTTGAATTCGAGCTTGGGTTTGCACTTTCGTCGCTGACGTTCATGGGTTGGTGAACGGCTCTACCGCGGCGGATACAATCTATGAGTTCGACTTCTTGTTTTATGGGGTGATAGTCTTGATTCCAGACTGCGATGACGTCTTCCATTGGGGGTGGAGGAGAAGGGAGGCCTACATCTTCGCAGTAGTTGTGCAATGCTGTGTAGTATTGGGCGAGCAGCGTATTCTGAATCATAATTTGTACGGCGAGTAAATGTGGTAAGATCGAAAAAGCTGCAGCGATTATAGGTGGTAACGTTTCTCGGAGATGAGCGTCTGCATCTTTGAATGCCTGGATATCAATTAGTACTACTCTCATTCGTTGACGATGTCCCTGCCACAGTCGGGAGGGCCAATTCTCTTGAGGATCCATTCTTAAGTGTTGGTGTTATAATGGTGTAGATGCAGATTTGAAGCCTCAAAAAACTGTCCCTCCGGCGATGGAAGGGTTATTCAGGTACCAACCTCTGCTGCCCTGCCTTGTTCCTCTTCAGCCTTTGCCAAAGCAGCGTTTTCTCGATCAGTTCTCTTCATCTTAGCCGACCCTTTATTGACCTTGTCTATATATCTTTCCCAGTCTAATCTTTTATTTTCTCGTTTCTTGATCGTTTTTCGAATGGGTTGTAGAAACTCCTTTGCTTCCGTAGCCGGTTTTGTAACTCGAGAATCCATCATCATAACTTCTTCCAATAAATCTGTTTTTAGCTCCGTATATGTTTCCTTCAATTTGATAGTTCGCTCCATTTGTTGGCGAGGGGTAACTGCCGGATTGTCTCGATGAGCATCGCTGGTGCCTACAATGGGCTGATATAACTCCTCGAAACTTAGAGCTGTATTTAATTGAGAGGAAAGTATAGACACCCATGCGTCTCTCCATGCTTTCGAAGCTTCAATTATCTACTTATGTATATCAGTAATGTACTACATAGCGATAGCATATAGCGCGATGTTCAGGCAGCTTACCATATTGAGCATCTTATTCGCATCTTCGTAATCGCTCAAAAGTACAGATACTTTGGCAGTATCACCAGGACCTTTGTGCCTGATCTTGCCAATCTGCCGGTGCATAGAATTCATTTTGTTTGTGAAAGAATGTATCAATGAGATAGTAGTTGTCAATGTGTGCCGCTTATCCCCACAAGATAGAGAAATGAATGAGTTCCACGTAGTTGATTTCCAGATGATTAAGAGGATGTTCAATGTTGATACCTCGCAGTAGGGACAGCTGTCAATAAATCAATTGATACGACTTCCAACATTCAAACACAGCCCCGTTAATGGATTAAAGAAAGTTTAGTGGAGTGAGTGTCTTTAACAATTATCTTCTTTGGAGTTGTATTGTAGGATTTCATTCGGAAAATCCTACCCAGGTAAGCAAGCAGCACCAAACAGATGTACTGAAACTCAAACCGGTTCGCGGGGTTGAGATGAATGGCCTGTGCCTCCTTAAACAGAAACCAGCCTCCCGACTTGGAGTGACATAATTTGGTTGCCCAGATAATAGTACTCACCTACCAGGTAGTCATACGAATGTAATTACGGTACGTTTACGTTATAATAATGATATGGGTACGTGTTTATAGGGGTGTCTTTGCCAGAGTGATTGAGATTGCGAGACCAATCTTCAATCCTTATCCCCATACGGTATTTAAAGTTCAATATCTCAATGTTCGACTCTCATCTGAACTTCGAATGAGAATCTCCATTTCAGCCCTGTTGAATGTAAAAGCGGCTTGCTGTATTTCTTGTTTCAAGCACAATGAGCCTTCTAGATCACGTCAGATATCTTAATTGATCCATGAAACTAGCAATTTGTTAAAGATTCTTCCTTCCTTTTCTAGCAAGTGCATACCTAGGCGTGTCTAAAATGGATCTATAAACATCTCGTATCAAAGTCACAAACTCTCACAATGTTCCGGTCGAAACATAGTGAAGCGACAATACTAGTCTGGAACGACCCGTCATATTTTTGAACCATGGATTAGTGGATTAGGGGGCTATTATTATATAAGCTAGTGGGCACCATTTTTCGGATCTATCCCCATCCAACGACTATTTATTAGTCGGTTGCTTAGTGAATGTTCTATCTACATCGAACGTCCTTGGTCCGGCTTTTCCTTAGGGTTTTACATGTTGGAAGACAAGCAGTAAGGTATCGATTATCCTTTTAACATAGTCTGAACCCAAGCAGCAGCAGTGATATCCCAATTTTGAGGATATACAAGATGAGCTGTAAGATTAGTACCGCTAGCACATACTGGATCTTCAACATTGCAGAAGTCTGCAATCTTTGATGCATATTGGTTTTCGATGACCGAAATTTGTGAAGCAGTTCTTGGATATTTCTAGGAATCGGTCAGTATTTTTTTGGGTCATATTTTGTCCAGCTTCTAGACCATGATATGTTGTGGCTCTGTCAGCATTACTTACGCCAGTTACATTGTTGTTCCCGACATCAAAGCTCTCGTTGGGGATGTGTCTTGGGTCTCCATACAAGACTAGAGCTGTCATGCGGTCCCCAACTTTCGAGTTAATGGGGAGTGATCCATTTCCAGCACCGAGAATCTCATCTCCACCTCCACCAGCTAGCATGTCTCCAACAACCATAGCACCCTGTTCGAATTAGCCTAGATTTAACATATCATAGAAAGACAACGCACTTGAGAGTAGGCTAGAAAGATAATTTTCGAATCTTCACATGACTCCGTATAAGCAGTAAACTGGTCCTTGGCAGCCACAAGCCCTTCAGCATAGCTGTTTGTGGAAGTCTCGTCCGTAGCAGGATAGATAACACTTTCGTAATCAGTGCCTGGATTAGCATCGATAATCAACCCGGCCAAGCTCTCGAGAGTCCCGGGATAGCCCTCAGTCGTTCCACGAGCGATGATCAAATGGATTGGAGCACATGCAGTGCTATTGACAAGAGCTCGAGATTGATGTGCCACGCGAGCGGTTGCCAGAGCTGGCAGGAGCAGCATAAGCGACGAGGCAAAAGGGGTCAACATAATGAAAGTATAGATCAGTGATAGAATTTTAAGTAATTGACCAAACTTTTATCCAGGGAGTCTCTGGACTTAAGTACATTTAATTAACTCTCCTACAATTTAAATTGTGGACCATTCAATACCTTGAATGGCAGTGAAAACGCGTGGCAATAAAACGACTGGGTAGATAGTACGCACAGTCCGAGAATTCGGTGCCGACATGAAGATATCATCCAGGGGAATAGCCCATGATTTTCACTCCGAGATTCATCGCCGCTCATGAAATGCACAAGCTTCAATATTCAACTCAATCTAAGATTTCCAGATTTTAATCAATTCAATCTTAAACAATGAAATTCTAATACACATTTATGGTTTTCATCGTTTTGCCCTCTTCTGATCGTGTCGATAGAGCTATAGTTTAGAATAGGTTCTCCTTCTTAGATTGTCGTTATTTGGATACAACATCCCCATCTCCCAATCCAATTATTGATGCTTATTTTCAAGGCTTGATGTTTACACCTAGTCACCAGTTATATAATCTGCAAAATTTGGTTCAATGGCTGACACCAATATAACAAATCCGTTATCGGGAACCATAGTTATCAGCACGTGTTAGCGGGGAGTCGGCGCGTTAGATCAGAGTGTCACTGCTAAGTTTCGCGTCACGTAAGGAAGCAACGAAATCCCACGATTGATTTTCAGGCACGACAGAGACTTCTCCCTTGAAAGTTGCCTGCTGCTTGACAATCCCCTTGACGCTATGAGTCATATCGATTATTCGCAACGCTTTAAAGATGACGGCCTCCGCCAATGTTGCCATGTCCATGGACGTTCCCCCAGATCAAAATACAGCTCCAGTCCTCGAATTCCGTTGCCTCTATACAGCTGATACCCGTCGAAAACAAAAGCGTTGGCAAGATGGGCGACTCAAATATCACACTTTCAATAAGCGTGTTATGGTGTTCGACGAAAGATCGAATTTGGTAGGAGATGCACATTGGCGCGAAAAAGCTCCACTTGACGAAGGGGCCGAGTTGGAATTAGAAAGAAATGGGATACTGGTCGAAGTATCGGAATTTATGGAGAAGAAGGACCAAGATCTTACCGAGCTCATTGACAAAAGAGTTAAAGAAAGGGAGGAGAGATTTATTGCAAGAAACGGAGACTCATCACCAGCACGATCCGCAGCATCTGTCATTCGGTCGCAAACTATTGCTGCAGCTCATCTAAAGCCGAAACCACTCAACTCTATACTTGGCACACCTTCCGGTCATTACGGAAAGGCAAGTGTGTCAAAAACGTCTCCATTTGAACAACGGCAGATGTTAAACGCTAGAAATGCCGGCGAAACCGAAAGTCCTAGGCCCACGAAAAGAAGAAAGGTAAATGAGCCGCCACCCAAAAATGGATTTGCGCAAAATCTTATGGGGGCTACTTTGTCGTTTACGCCGACGCCATCGAGCACCGGGCCTATAAGATACGAGTCTTTAAAACTGAAGACAGTCCAACGACCAGATATCAACGATACTAAAGCAAATGGAGACCATGGTGAAGACATTTTGTCAAACGGAAGACAAGGTTTGGCAAGTCATATCACTAGGGATATGCATTCCTCTAAAAGTCGAATACAAGCAAGAAAGAGAGATAAGCCCGAGAGAAGTGGATATGCCAGCAACCTTACTGGAGCGTCTCTATCGCTTTCGTCTTTTCGTGAAGCCACGCCCAGAAACGTAGAAAGAAATTTAGTCATGCAGAAGAAACAACCAAAAACAATCGACTTGTCAATAGACACAAGCTCTGATGAAGATGGCCGCCCAGTTCCAGTAACAAAACCGAGGGAAGTTGCCCGGAAGAAGAAGAAATCTCCACCCAACATATCTGAGCAGACACCGCAATTACCATCCCCGCCATCAGCAATTATACCAGTACCTAAAGAAGCAGTCAAAGTATCGAGTACAAGGCTAGAGTCTCAGAACAATGCTTCATCACTGAACAAGCCACAGGAAAGATCTCATTCTTCTCTACGTATCAAGTCTCGCCCACGCAATAAGATGTTGATGTGTATAGATCAACTCAGGTCTCGATCTTCTCCATCAGAATCACAGGGAGCCAGCGGATCAATCAAGTTAGATCCTGTGATTCGTCCAGCGATACCATCTTCCAGCGCCCAATCTATTCAATTGGCACTAGAACAAGAGGTCATCAGATCTACCGAGCTAGAGGATGCCTTGCCAATAGTGAAACCATCTTCGCCTCGCAGGCCGTCGATTGATAATGATTTAGATAACAATTCGGTCAATGATGATGAAATCGACGGACCGCAAATGTCAGGATTTCCGGACAGTCTAAGGTATAGTGATCTCGAAGAGCCTCCGTCCTCTCCAGGAAGCATTGGTATCAATCATCAAACAATAGATGCAATTCTGTGTCGTAGTCGTCCGCTAGAGGCTCAGAAATCTAGACTTACAGTCGCGCCAGCCACGAGAGAAGATCAAGAATATCCAGTATTTAAACAGCAATGCCACTCGGAGAATATTGAAGAGAGGTCCGGACAGTCTGGCTTAGAATATCTCTCGACCTTGAATAAGAAGATTTCTCAGGCGGTCGAACAGAAAACTCAAGAACGTGAACCCATTCTACAAATGTCACCTGAGTATCTAGTCGAGACGTTAAGAACTACCCAGGAACAATCCGGAAATTCTATTGGCTTGCATAAGAGCGTTGCTTCGGACCGGGCCTCAACTACTCGAAATGTCGAGACGCGTCTAGAATCCAATGTACCACCTTTAGTTACAGGAACTGACACGACAGCAATTGCTAACTCTATCTACAAGCCTGATCCCCCTGATACCTATTCTCTTATAATACCACACCCTGCAAAAATGATAACCTCTGCATCATGCGCCCTCCAACAAAACTTGGCAGTTCCAAAAACTATGACATATCCCAATTCCGACATTGCGAGCAGAGACGAGTCCAATGTTTTGGCACCAAACACAGTCACAGTATCACCGAATGCTGCTGTTGCACCTGGTATGCACTCGAACGTTATCGACTCAGATAAGATCTTGGCAGGCATGACATCTAATAGTTCAACCTTTAATGCGACTGGCCGCTTCATGTCCAAATTGTTACCGACACGAAATCAGCATCAAGTGGAGAGATCCCTGATCAAGACGAGTTCCAGTCTGATCGACCAGACTGCGGCTTCCCTCACAGCGGCACAATCTCCCAAAAATGTCGAAATTAAGCAGTCACCAAGCTCAATTCCAGGCATTCTTTCCGTCGAAGAAACGAGAGATGATGAAACTAGTGGATTCATGTCAGCAAATCAGATAGTAGAGAAAGAAACACAATATCGCACTTCAGAGGCCTCCACTTCTGGAGACCAGGGCCCTTCACGGCCTAGAATCATTAACCCCGCAACTCGTGGAATGTCAATTCAAAAGACTGCCAAGAGAACCCTGCACGCACTTTCTCCACCTGTCAATCTAATGGGTCCACCCGCGGCCATTCTTGGAGGCCTCGGAAGCGGAAGGAACACGACAAACGACATTTCAGGGAATTTAGGGAATGAGAGAGACCTTAAAGGACCATGGAGCAGAGAGTCCTTTGATTTGTTTGGATCGTGGAGGCCTCCTACACAACAGTCGTGAAGAACTGTGCTATCCGCACCTTATCGCTCGCCCCACTAGACTATTAGGATTATCTAATTATCTAATGAACCCATGGAGTAGCCACTTCATCCTGACGTCAAGTTCCGATTGTCAAATTAGAACAGTCTTTATAAAGCTATGAGCTCCTATCTGCCAACCGCATTCAAGAGATTACCTCCAGCCGTGAAGAGCCGAGAAAGTCGCAAAAGCTCGTATTACTTGGGAACTCTTGGGCACTGGCGCTTTAAGGGCGTTGATAGGGCGGGCTTCTACGTTTCAGATTGTAGAATCGTGTCTCTCCACCACAAAATAATTAATTACTTCGCCACACAAGTAGTCGTCGCCGCTTTTTGAAATAATTGCAACATGTAGCAAGTATCGTAATGCTGCCCCATACCTAGGAATCGAACTGATACTTGGCTATCCTACAGTTTAATTGTAAAAGGAGGTTTTTGGTGTACCAAATAATTACTGTTTTCACAATGATAGCAGAATATACCTTGTCTCTCAAAGTGCAGATTGAACCAGCCACACTTCCAGAACATCTCTTATCTCCACTCCAATTTCGCTGGTAATCAGAACGAGCAAGTCACTTGCACCGCCTTCATTTGTGAAGCAAGCTTTCACCGTCTCTTGGCAGCTCGACCCATTGTTTTTCAAACTTCGACATCATTTGATTGATTCGGACAATGTCTTTATGTTCAATGTCAATATCCTCTTCACTTACTAGCGTTCATGTCGCCCACTTCACCGACATCCCTGTAGCAGTTTATAGGTTCGTTTAACATGCTTGGGGCGCGCGATCAACTGAGTACGTGTGGCCAGCCTCATCTCACATGGAATACATATCAGGCATGCACCCCCCTTCTATCAACGGCCGAGTATAGATTTCTTTTCATTTGCGAACTGCCTCCTGTCAATTTCTTCATTCATTAGTTGGCGACTCCTTCATAGAATACAGTTACTAGCACAGAATATCCTTGTGTACTGTTCTGTTCTGTGTTTTTTTTCGATCCAATCTTTTAGGCTTCAGCCTTACTTCTATTCAACATTTACCATCTAAGAGTCACAACCAACTGTTGAAAATATTTACTCCGGACTAACCTACCAAAATGCTTCGTGGAAGATCACCATCATACCCATATCTGCGGCCACCTTCGCCTGGGCCTCGATCTCATCAGCAAAGAGTATCGGGGAACACCTCATCAAGCCAGGCATCGTCTCCCTCTTCATCTACACATGCTACCAGTCTCGAAAAGAAACCTATACCTCCAAAGAAGTTTAAAAGTGCTTTGAAGCTATATAGCGAGTTCCGGATGAAAGAAGGATTGGCGCAACGCTCTCCGGACCCAAACGCAACATCGCCAAGTAGCATTGTGTCATTTGGTGCACTTGGACCTCTCACCAATGCCTCTCGGTCATCCCAATCTAAAACTGCATATTCGTTTGATGCAGCCCCTTCAGATTGGTCTTCGGTGATATCATTCGATACCAGCAGTCAGCATTCGATCAAATCTGGAGCAAAGAATAAAGCAATCTCTTATCAAGGCAACGCAGTATCACAACGGAAAAGGAAGAAGTTCGGCCCTGTGAAGAAAGCCGAAACGGCCCTAATCCGACATCTAGGGGCTTGCGAGAAATGTAGAGATCGTAATGTCAAAGTATGTGGTAGCAGCCTCTTTTTGTTTTTGATGATATTTTGTCTGATTCCGCGTTTTAGTGTCCCTTAAAACATCACGACATCGAAAGCCTAGACCGCGCCCTCCAACCAAGTCCCAGCAAACAAGAATCCGACTCACAGTACTACAACTCGACTTCCCCTATAAACGAGTTTCAAATTGTGAACACCCCTTCTGGGCAAGCTACACCAGTCACTTCGCAAGTAAAATATGAATTGCAGGGTATTGGTGAGAAGTTTGATGTCGCGCCCGACTTATCCCTCGATCACGATTTGATCTTTTCACCCATAATTGATCTGGAGACTAGCCAAAGCCAAAATGAAAACAGCTTATCGACCTCCATAAGTCTTGAGACCCGTGTTGCGACCCACTATTCCCCCTTCCAACATGGTGGTCAATTCCCTCTTGGCGTCTGGGATTGTTCGACTTATAAATGTTACTTTCTTGATGGCGAATGTCGACACTCCTTCGTTGATGAAGAATCTTTACAAGCACATTTTGAGGACAGCCACTTCGAGTTTACCCGCATTGATCCTTGTCTTAGATTGATTTGCACTGAATGCTTTTTTGTAACCACCTCTCACGCTTGCGGCTGTGGTGGTACAGTGAAACTGTTCATCTGTGGGAATTACATACCAACTGGACAATATCCACCCGAACCACCGCCCAGAACATCCTATTCCTATACTGGATTCAATACACCCACAATATTTTCAGACGATTCTTATACAAATACAGCTTTCGGACAAGGGCTTGGCTTTCATACTAACGAGACTCAGAACTTCGACAGTGACACTAACAGCATCTTTTATGGTAATGGCAGTAATATGTACCCAAGTCCTAATTCCTCCACGTATGGTTCCTATAATTACGATTCCACACAACCCGGTGGGAATCGACATAATGGATATGCATGGGCATTGACTCTGGGAGCAAAGAAGGCTACTGAAACTCCTATTCCCTATCGTGTGATGAAGTTCAGCCAAATCTCGAAGCGTCAAAAGATTTTGATATATGTATTACTTTCCCTGATACTTATCTTAACTGGCTTCCATCTCTTCCCTTGTATTATGTCTACCATCTCGAAAATCGATCGGTTTCTACCCAGTATCCCGACTCTAGGATTCATAGGATTCCTGATATCTTTTGCTACAAGTTGGGCTACGAGACGTGTTCATTCTACTCGCAAAGCTAAACGATGCAAAATGGTAAGTGCCGATGACTACCGAGATATTCCTTTAGCTTAAAGAAGAGGTTCTAACGATTGTTGTGTTTACAGCGTCGCTGTCCTCTTCATACTCTTACACCCCTAAAACCCCAATACGGCCAAAGAGTAATTCCTGTCTTGATATATGCGAATGTTTCATGAGTTAATGGGTTCCGCACCTCGACGAAAATTACATGCAACGCACAATGATCGTTAGCCGTAGGTCCTAGGGAACAACAATGATCACGACTGATGATTCACATCACCAAACTTCTTCAAATTTACGCTCCTCTCACGCCACTTGACGTAATGATATTTCCTATGTTCTATGATTTTGGGTTTAGCATGGGATAGAATGGGTGTATATTGTCCTCTTTCTTTCTTATCTCTGCAATGGGTTCAACGTGTCGCGCTCGAAGCACAGGATATTTGCGTGCAATTTACCTGCGCTTCCCATCTCTCTGTTTCTTATGGCTCAGGTTTGTGGGAAATGCAGCTGCGTGATTAGTACATGGATTGGGAAAAGGGACACTTCTCTATTACCAAGGAGTATAAAACAGGACATAAAAGATATGGATGAATGAACAGCTATGGTTTCAGGATTTTAAGCTAGCGAAATTTACACTATTCTAGGGTTTATTTGATACATTTCTCTTTTCTTTGTCGCATCTTCACTTGAATTGATTTCGCCGGCGAGTCAGCGGGTTTGATTTTATTTACGCAGCGGATATTTCTCCATCCCTATATATCGCACAACTCGGCCGAATTGTGCATCTACCCAAGTCTTTTTTATCTACAGCTGACGTTGGATGTTTCGATCTATTTTTTACTTTCTATTCTTAAGTGCCATCAATCTACCTACCTAGTAGCACTCAAAGCAATCCAGCTGTTGAAATCAATCCACTTGTGGAGTTACAACGCATTGAACACTTGTGTAACACGTGATTACCAACATCATAAACACTCTGTGGTGGGGCGATGAGAAGGTTGATTACAAATTCAACTGTTTTAGCTTGTTACTTAACACAACGTTGCAGCTTTGGCGGCTGAAAAGGGGTGAACATGTGCCCATCATGGATAGATTGGTAATAATCTGATTGGCATGGAAGAAGATAGAATGCAAAATACAAGTGAGAACTGAAGACGGGGACGGACTTGAAAATGAAGCACAGGTAGCAATGTGGAGACACTTGCTGTACCTGTGTTATCATCCACCCACCTTGGTATCTATAAAAGGAATGAGCTACCTTCAGTGACATGCAATATTTAAACTTTCACTAATTAATCTTCTTCACTCCTCTCTTCTCTTTTACAAACAACTCCAATTCCAAGTTACACAGTACTCACACTCACAAACGTACATTCAATTATTCATCTAAAATGGCTGTCTCACTCTACGATATCTCAGTTGTCCCTTTCATCAAGAGCCTCAAGACATTATCAAGTCAGTCTTGCCTATCTCATTCGATTTATCTCTCCTTCCATTTCACTTTGTACATTGATTAACAGCGTCTCCAGAACTCCTCGCAAAAGGACAAGCACACTTTGAAGATGAATCTAAAATTATCAACGCAAAATTGATTGATGATATGGGAGATTTGATTTTCCAAGTCCAAAGAGTTTCTGACTCTGCTAAGGGATTGGCAGTCCGAGTCGCTGGTGCGGAAAGTGTTGCTTTGGAGGACAATGAGAAGGATGTGAGTTTGAGTTTGGGTTTCTTTTCCTTCGTTTGGAGTAGAAATGAGGGTAATTGGGCTTGCAGGAAACAAAGTAGTTCATCGAGTGATGAATATGCATCTTTGTAGTCACCTATATCTAGGTCGAAGTATATCATTTGATATCTGGCATTCGGCAAATCCACGGTTCGAGGTAGAAGAGCTTGTGTATGCACATGGCCTCCACTCACAAAGCCCCTTGCCTTTTATCTGCCGCATTTCATTTTTTCTATTGACTTTATTTTGTCTATTCCTTAAATTCTCCACCATACAAGATTTTATCATTCTGACGACCTCTACAGTTCGCCGGTCTCTATACCCGCATCAACCGCACAATCGAGATTCTCGAAGCCCTTCCCTCTACCTCTACAGATGGAAAGGAAGATACGGAGGTAGTATTGAAGCTCCCAAGCGGAGACCTAAAATTCACTGCTAAGGACTATGTTCTTAACTTTGCAATTCCAAACTTCTACTTCCATGTCGTTACTGCTTATAACATTTTGAGGTATGTTTCAATATATCTATTTTCCCTGAAGATAGAAAGATGACTAGGCGGAGGAATTCGGACAAGAGGTTTGGAAAATAAGCTAACGCTGATGTGTGTATAGAAAGGAAGGCGTACCGGTTGGAAAGTTTGATTTCCTTGGAAGAGGTAATTAATAATACTGTAGATGAGGGAGTGTGAAAATGGTGTTTGACTACCATGCTAGAGATTGGGAATTCATCCATGGCATAGATTCTAGCTCCATGACCAATGAAAAATATTCATTCTGGAGATAGTTCCGTACATATGCCATATACTTGTGAGCGCTTTTCCAGTCTCCTAATTTCTTGCTGTGTAAATGTTAAATATCAGCTTAAGCGATTGGAGATATTTTTAGTAATCATCATGTCATACTCTTCGTGTCATACTCAACATTAGCCTTCCCCTTAAGGCTGAGAGCAACCCGACAATTCACTTTCACAACAACTAGTATCGTCTAATCAATACTAGCGCACCCTCCTAATAACTAGCTCCCTAAACCTCAGAGATCCTTTGCGCTCGCCATCTCATTGGTTCCCATAACAATATGACGTCAATTTCGAGATCGTTCAGATATGTAACAAATTGCAGTTGGGACTCTTAATGTGCTCTTGATCCGCCCGGATTCACTTATACTAGGGTGCGGGAATACTAGTTCCTATTTAATATTGTAAAGTGAATACACTAGTTTGTTGTGTAGTTCGGATTGGAATCGAATTTCTTTGCGCGAGGAAATCTATTGGTTTTGTGGATTGTGACGTCAATTTCGAGATGGGGCAGATATGCAACAAATGGGTTGTTGGGGTGCTAGGGGTTAGGACTAGGTGGGTTGCGATTCACTTTTTTATGTTTATTTGTGGGATGATAGTGTGTGTGTTCTCGTTTTTCTAACTTCAGATTGGAGGGGACTTGGAGGGAGTTTGGTATTCAAGGAGCGAGAGAACTTTCTAATTGGTTTGAGAGGTGTGGTAAGCGAAGTGTATAAAAGCAATAGCGTTGAGCTCGTTATCTCTGAGAAAGAAAATGTTGTATCAGAAAGTTATACAGAATCAAGATTCTCTCTCCCACAGGACGAGATGATGACTTCCTTGTGTTTGTTGTTTTTTTGGGATCCAAATATTCAGATCGTGCTCCAAACAAGCGCTCTCCTCTTTAAGAGCTATTGGAAGATTCTCCTTTTGTTGTTATGGTACTTGTTATATGTCACTTGAGATTATAGGATTTCAGTAATCGAACGTGATGTTCGGTGATGAAGTCAGTGAAGGCTAGTGCCGATTTAGATTTAGATTGCCTTTCTAGCTCTGTACTCTCAACAAGCGAAAGAATATAAGATCCAAAACGAGGTTGATAGACTGAGAAATTCCCCTGAAATAGTTACTGAGCATGAGTATTTCTCCCATCGATGATCTGCGGTGGTTTTAATGGTCTATATTACAGTGCAACAGTAGGAGATTCTTAATATCTAAACATATTTGGGACGTCCAGTTTACTGGGAATGCGCATTCATCTTGAATGATTAGATTTCTTGGAAGATCTCAATCAATGCAAACTTTTGAATCTAGTAACTTGTTGATCTATATTCAGAGAGTTATGGCTTCGTGAGCTTCCACGTCTAGTCTATCTGCTAATTTGACACTTCGGAGTGTGAGGCTACTTCATCACCTCGACCGTGCAAGTTGGAGTGAATATGTGGTGAGATATTTGAGCTAGATTTGAACACTGAAAATGGATGGTAGAGGTTAAACCTAAACTAGCGGTTGTATATGAAGAACCATCTATCAAGCATATCACGAAACCAGACAGTGAGCGATGAACTCCAAACAGAATTGCTCCACGAATCATCATTTTTCGTGAGGCCATGATACCGTAGAGTCATGGACTCATAGACTTATGGAATCCTGCATACAGATGAACAAATGAATTTCCTCTGCCTATCCTCAGTCTTTATTTCTCGTCAACAACATCTTCGTCAAGCAACCCAGATAGACTGTATCACCCAATGGTTTTTGCGCAAATGACAATCAAATCTTCATGCCACTACCATCAGAGTTCCTACTCATTTCGCAGCTACGCAAGTATGCCGAGATCTCTCGAATACACGTTTTTCAGAGTATCGACTAACGCATTCATGACAAGTTTTGATATGCCCAAACATTCCATTTCTCGTCTATAGTACTAGTGCCTAAAGCGAGAATGTATCGATACCTCTTTAGAAACAACAAATCCACAACTGCCCACCAAGAAATTCGGTAGAAGCTTTGCCACTGGCTACAGGGCGAAGAACCTTTCTAAATTTGTTTCTCTCTCGACATATCCGCGTTGCAATCCACTCAATACTCTCATTTCTGTGCTTTTGCAAAGAAGAAGGAAGCTCACTCGAATCGCAAAACGGAAAGCTGAATGCCTGTGCTAAACCTACAACAGTGACAAACCACTTGATCTCTTCCCACTTTGTTCAGATCATGCAGAAAATCAATGTGAGCTTCATCTTCCCTCAAAATGAGGTGCTAACGATGGAAAACATGATTACATTTACTCAAATGCAACATCTCAGATCCATTTCAGTTCTACAAACCCTCTCTCATTATCCAACTGCATCTCAAATGATCACCTATCATGTATCCCACCCCTTCCCCCCTTTTCTACCTCCCTTCTACACTCCTCCATATCTACAAATCCACCGCTCAAACTTTCAATCTCTCACTTTATCTCCCAATCTTAAACAACCTTCAGCAAAACCACACTTCCATATCTGTTATCTATCCTTTAACCCTAAACAACATCCTCAACCCCCTTTCAGAAGGAATACAACACATACCCAATTGAAAATACAAAAGGATACATTCCCCCTCTCCTCTTAGAAAGGGTATCCAGAATAACAGCATGCAATATATGCCCCCCTTATCATTTAACACATCATCCCGAGCAGTTCAGAAGCCGAGAGAAGGCGAGCTGCACAGGATACTTCATTCACATTCGAAGAGAACATTGAGTATTGTATTATTATCTTTATATTCTTCATAAGTATTACAATCGTTCTATAATATGCACATGCTAGGTATCGTTCCAGCATTCATTTTGGATCAAGATATCCTCATCCCAAACATCAAGTCCAGTGCCGTAGTAAGAGAAAAGCTTCAGTCAATATATGTTTTATATATGACCAGTGACTCGTATGAGGGATCACAAACGCGTTAGTTCATGATCAGTCAACCCCATCCCAAATCCAAATAAACGCCCCAACCTTATGCCAAAGGCTTTCTTGCAACCATCAAATACATAGGGGTGAACAAATCTTCCCTAGCACCAGCGACCAAACAATCAGCAGCCAACGCCAATGAATCAGCTGTCTTTTGTGTTCCTTGTGGTGCCAACTTCAAGTACTCCAAAGCACCAACAAATTTATGTGTTAATCCTCGACCAATCTTGGTCATACGGGCAATAGTGAAGAAATCTCCAATGGTACCCATGTGCTTGAATTCACCAGCCAAAGGATAATACCATGGGGTAGCATCTGGTCTCTTGGCCAAATCCTCATGGAGTACGAGTTCAAAACCAGCGGCTTTGATAGCGGCGATACCCTCGGAAATCTTGACCATGTTGGAGATTCCGTCACCTTGCTCAATACCGAGACGAATCTCACGGTGATGTTCATTGTCATTATCGTAGTTATCGGTCATGAGCCATTCATAAACACCGAAAGTTCCACCTGGCTTGAGAACTTTGAAAATTTGGGAGTAAACACCCTCGAGGGATGGGGCGTGAACAGTTGCTTCAATTGCATAAACAGCATCGAAAGAGTTTTCTGGGAAAGACATTTGCTATAAAAAACTATTAGTTATGGCCCAGATGAGAGAAGGGGTTGCCAATGAAGATATGCGAAGTCTTTATCAGTGCATATGGTGAAAATTGTCTCATGGCTTGATCTCTCAAGCTCTGAAGTAGCAAATACTTTAAGATTGCGTAGCATCATATAGACTCCACAAATCTCCGTGGCTTGAAATTAAGAAAGAATGAACATACCATGAAATCTCCCTTGACAAACTTCAGTTGATCAGACATACTCTCCTTTGCCGCATATCGGGTCGCACGCTCAATTTGATAATCGTTGTTGTTCAAACCGGTGATGTGTGCTCCAGTGAACTTGGCAATCTCTCTTGCTGGTCCACCGACACCGCATCCAACGTCCAAAACTTTGTCACCATCCTTGATACCAATTTTGGCTGCGAGGTAATGTTCGTGACGGGCAATGGCTTGGTAAAATGGTTCCCCGTATGCGAAACGACAGAAATGGAAAGATTGTCCCCATCCATATTCGTAGAGATCGGTTGCGAGATTGTAGTAACTATACATATATTAGCATTGAGTCTTACTTGAGGTCAATGGGATAACTGACTGTCTGGTCAAAGTAGCATATTCTGCAACGCGTGCATCTCTGTCATCTTTGGTCTCGTTCTTAGCAGCCTTATTATCCCAATGCTTGAAGTATTCATCAACAGCAGCCTTTTGAGCTGAAGAGTCCTTCTGCATCATAGCACGGAAACCACCCTCAGCATTGGATGAATCCTTATGCATAGCTTTGTTGAAAGCAGCATCGCGGGAGTGATCCTCGTTCTCAAGTTTGGTTGGAGCCATTGTAAATGTTCAATGAATTCGTAAATTAGAAGACGTATTGTTTTAAAGAAAGCGGTATTCGAGTTGATCGAATTTTGAAGAATTAAATGAAGGTAGAGTAAAGTTAAGTGGAATGGTTGAAGGTTTAGAACATTGAAGAAAGGGGAATTTCTGATAGATATTTATCAACACCATTGAAATTATGGCCAGGGTAATTTAGTTACCCCTAGTCGTATAGCGAATCGTATTCGTGTACTAGGCCCAAAGTGATAAATGTAAGGGGTCTCAAGCCTCTAATTGGTCATTGAGCCTCAACCATGAATGGGGAATTTTCGATAGGCGGCGGGACAGCAAATTGTGCAGATTAGACTCGAAAGGCTGGGCAATAAAATCGTTGGCATTTTTGGATACACCGGTAGTGAAAAGAAACGGTGAATGAAGGGTCAGAGTGAGGATTTCTGACATGGTAGATCGAGGTCTCGGAACCCTTCAAAGCATTCACATGTAACAAGACTGAGAAATCGATTGGAAAGTATACATCATTGAGAGGATTGGAAAGATTATATTTGCTGGGTAGGAAAAGGCAAAGATGTCCAATGTTTTGATTTGTAAGGCTATTCATCAGCCTTATCACGTGTATCCATGTCCAACTGCATTAGTCAATTTCCTGATTTCGAATTTCTTCGCCTCTTCTTCAGCCTTTCCTAGCTTCTATCATCAAGCCATCAAAATATTAACGTCACTTTGTCGCAAAAGACACTCTAAATCACACAATATCGACACCATTTTCCTTCAAATATCATAATAACATATAAATTCTTGAATCATGCCACCACAAATCAAACAAGATCTCAATCGCTCCGGTTGGGAAACCACCGACTTCCCCTCCGTCTGCGAAAATTGTCTTCCCGATAACCCTTTCGTACAAATGATTAAACAAGACCACGGCGAAGAATGCAAACTTTGCACACGACCTTTCACTGTCTTCCAATGGAAGGCCGATCGTACAGCTCGTAGTAAACGCACCAATATCTGCCTCACATGCGCGCGATTGAAGAATTGTTGTCAATGCTGTATGTTAGATTTGAGTTTTGGATTGCCGATAGTGGTTAGAGATGCGGCGTTGAAGATGATTGCGCCGGGACCACAGAGTGAGGTCAATAGGGAATACTATGCGCAGAATCATGAGAAGGAAATTGAGGAGGGGAAGGGAATGGAAGAGTATGAGAAGACGGACGAGAAGGCTAGAGAACTTTTGAGGAGGTTGGCGAATAGTCAGCCTTATTTCAGAAAGGGGAGAAAGATGATTACGGATGGGGAAGGTAGTGGTAGCGGTGCTGCAAATGGAAGTCAAAGTGAGAAGGGAATAGCATTGGCAACCAAGGGACCAGGGCCGATCCGAACACGAGATGGACAACCGAGCAGGGGTGCTGGTCGGGGTGGTAGAGGCGGGGCCAGAGGAGGGAGAGCTTTCCCTAGTGCGGCGCAATTACCACCAGGGCCTCAAGATATCTTACCACCTTCCGACAAATCAGTAACTTCGCTTTTTATTACTGGTGTTGAAGACGACTTGCCAGAATATAAGATCAGGGATTTCTTTTCGCCATATGGGAAATTAAGGTCATTGGTCTGTTCGCACATGTCACATTGCGCATTCATTAATTATGCGACAAGAGAAGGAGCTGAAGCTGCAGCAGAAGCCTTACAAGGAAAAGCTATAATTGCAGGTTGCCCCTTGAGAGTACAGTGGGGAAGACCCAGACCCATTGGTACCATGGATAAGGATGAGCGCATAGCTACCGGCAGGGAAGGACGATCCGCATTTTCGAGTTCGGGTTCGGGCTCACAGCGAAGAGCGATTGAGGGTGGTGCTTCACAAGTTGCAGCTCCTCGGGATGATTTGGCTAGTATGTCGGCAGTCCCTGCTCCTCCTGGTGCAGGCGATGTGCAATATGCTAGTTTGGCCGGTAATTAAGGGGTTTGATGAATGGAAATTGTTTCTTCGGGTGTTTGGGAGTTGGGATGCCAAAGGGTTTGGGAAGTGGGGTGCTCTTTGTATGTCTAGAAATACATTGAATATAATGACAATCGTGGCATTTATGGTCACGACATATACCCATCTTGCTCTGTGTCAATCTGTCTTCGAAACGTCCTCGTTATGCATGTCACCCCTTTGAACCTCTCAATACTGTCCTCGATATCCTACATTTGTATATCCATTCTTCTGCCCCTAAATTCTCGTTCTCAAAATCCAATGCATCCCCAGGCACCCTAGTCCTTACATGTCTTTCCATCAATGGTAACGTTCTTGCCATTCGGCATCTTGATCGTATCATTATCTCCCCGTTCCGTATCTTCGTGAATGTTTAACTCTGTGATCTGTTAGCTTGATTTTGATCTCTCCATCATGTGAAGATTTTGACCTACTATACTTCTCATCCCCCTCTGCTTTCTGCCCCTGCACCACATTTCGCCTCAAGAATTGCGCAACATCTTCTGCATGCGCAATGGCAGCTATAGATTCTGGTGATTCGGGAGCGAGAGATCGGTTGGCAAGGAAAGTGCTACGGGCTTGTTTGCGCGCGGAAGTGAGGACCGCGATGTCTTCTACTAGGGGGTTAGATACTGGCTGCTCTTGAAACTCTCGTTGTGAGATGGACAGGAAAGCACGAACCATTGAATGCGACTCTAGTCGCACGGAGAAGATGTCTGTAGGCTGCTAACGCCATGACTTTTGATGTCTGTAAAACTACATAGCATATTTTGGTCAGTATACTTCTATCCTTTGACAAAATTAAACGACAGCGATTCATTTTTTTTCAGTCTTCCTTTTAGGCGATGATGACTACCCCAAAGAACAATTTCAAGTGGAACTGTGCCACGCCCTGCTTTGTGTCGAAAAGCAGGCATCTTGCGACTTCTATCTATGGATCAGAAGATATAGATGAAAGGAGGTCAACAGGACTACCCGATGCAGACTATAGTGCAGCCTTCGAAACCACGGAGGTTAGGAGATGCTTTGGAAAGATATACGAGGCACATAGCCAAGTCATTAAGAACAAAAGAGGAAAATTTCCAACTACATGGGTATATCCAGACTATACAGGTTGCGGCGGGACTGCAACTTCCCCAGGGCTTTTCACATTACCCATGGCATGGAACAGCGACACGATAGACAGTGGGGATCAAAGGCAAGGCAACCGCCGAACTTTTAGCACAAGAGACAACTCGTCTACAACACCGTCCGTCCAAGAAAAAGCTATGTTTGAGGCTATATGTAGACTTTATATGAGCCCGAAAAGGACGTCCAACGACCTTAAAGAGCAGGTATTCACATCTACGGCGTCCAGCCTGGTCTCTCAGGCCTCCCACACCACGGCATGACGCGAGAAAAACGAAGGCACATGCACAACTTGCTCAAATCCTTCATCTGAAAGTCCAAGTTTGGATTCAAGAAGCCTAACTCCACCAACAGAGTGCGAACTCGTTGAAGAACACAACAAAACTAAATCGTGTTCCCCAATGGATTGCCAAACAACACTGAGCTGCTCAGCAGAAGTCGAACGTTTTGAGAAATCCAGTCCAACTATGGCTACTAGAGAGCCCCAAGCCATACCCTCCACAACCTGGGCAGGCCTTGATGAAGAAGTCTGTCCAAATCGCGCCCGAAAACGTATCAGTAGAAACATGAGGATGCGACTGGACAGGAAAGCTGCAGCTCAGATCTTGGTATCTGAACACACATCACAAAAAGAAGACATATGTTTGCAAGTGGGGATATGTTCCCATGTTTCACATTCCAACAAGCCCCTGGCAAGTATTGAGGAAATGTCTCGTGAATAGAGTCTCAAAAAAACTTTTAAAAAAACTTGAAGAGAGTGAAAATAACAAGCGGAAACGAAAAGCTGGAGGAGGAGGAGAAGAGACCTGAGCTAAACCACGCACCTTAAAATTTCTGGCGGAAGTTCGTTAAATAGAGCCTACGGCTACAAACGAGAGCGAGGAGAGAACTGAGGTTGATCAAATACTAGCGGGAGACTCAAAAGATTGGCCTCAACAAGAATTATCTTCTATGAAAATGGGAGACTAAATTCGAACACTGTGAGGAAGATGAAAAGACTGGAATCTCTGTTAATAATCGCAAGGAAAGTGATGCAGCGTGATCTCGACACAGCGCAGGAATTCCGTTCAAGCACATTATTAAAGACCTCTGAGTGAAAGACTTTGGTCTGCTTAGCTAAGCATCCTTTTTTTTTAGCCCATCAGGCCTTTTGAAGTGGCATTGAATACTCAACGCAGAGTGTGATATTCAAACAGTCTATATGGTTTACAATACAATCAATCAAGTCAATTTTTCAAATTCTTTTTAATCTGAGATCTGAGAGTAACATGTAGTTTGACATTGAAGTTGCTGGTTGAGCGCCCTCTGCCGTAGCCAATAATGTACACCAAATTTGTAAACTTCCATTCGCACATCTAGAGCAATGAAATAAGTCCGAAAAATTGACACACATTGGGAAACAAGCTGAGTAGGTATGGCTTTTTAGACAATAACACCAAATTTTCATGGGAATGATTTAAGATCTAATTCTGGGTTCTACTTGGTTGTTGAATGTAAAGATCTTACATTATTGGAGTAAGTGTTATCTACAAGCGGCTGCGCGGCATAAAATGAGGGCGGTGAATTTAGCGAACAATTTTTTCGATCCTAGCATTCTAGCCTTTTCTTTCTCCCCTCCAACTTGTAAATAAAGCATTCAATAATTAAAAATGGCGTCCCATACTCAAGTCGCTTTACCTCTCCCTGTCCTCCCAGAAGGATGGTCCGCCGAGAAGGATTTCAACGCCGTTGGTAGCGTTTCTGCTGCAACTCAACGAAGCCTTGAGCCTGTTGGTCCTCACTTTCTCGCTCACGCCCGCAGAGCTCGTCACAAGCGTACCTTCTCTGAGGATGACCGTCTCGAAGCCCAGAACAACGTCAAGAAAGTCGAAGATGATGACCTTGGAGAGATCAGCGAAGCTGAGGACCCAATGATGTTGTCCAGAGATGCTAAGGACTGGAAGGTAAATTCAAATATCTGCCAACCCCACTATACTTTTGCTAATACTCGATTAATAGAACCAAGATCACTATGCTGTTCTCGGTCTCAGCAAATACAGATACAAGGCTACAGAAGATCAAATCAAGAAGGCACACAGAAAGAAGGTCTTGAAGCATCACCCTGATAAGAGAGCTGCCACCGGTGCCACCGAAGATGACAACTTCTTCAAGTGCATTCAAAAGGCCACCGATCTCCTCCTCGATCCCGTCAAGCGTCGCCAATTCGATTCCGTTGATGAAGCCGCCGATGTTGCCCCGCCATCCAAGAAAGACCAAAAGGACCAGAAACTCTTTTACAAGAAGTGGAACTCATGTTTCAAGGCCGAGGGTCGTTTCTCCAAGGCTCAGCCAGTCCCCAAGTTTGGTGATATCAACAGCACCAAGGAGGAGGTCGAGAATTTCTACAACTTCTTCTACAACTTCGATTCATGGAGATCGTTTGAATACCAAGATGAGGATGTTCCAGATGACAACGAGAACCGTGATCAAAAACGTCATATGGAGCGTAAGAACAACAACGCACGTAAGAAGAAGAAGACCGAGGATTCTGCTCGTCTAAGAAAGTTGTTGGATGATGCTTCCGCTGCCGATGAGCGTATCAAGCGTTTCAGACAAGAAGCAAGCAAGGAGAAGAATAAGAAGAAGTTCGAGAGAGAGGAAGCTGAGGCCAAGGCCAAGGCTGAGAAGGAAGCACAAAAATTGGCCGCCGAGAAGGAAGCCAAGGAAGCTGAGGAGAAGGCTAAGGCCGACAAGGAGCAGGGAAAGAAGGCCAAGGAAGCCGCTAAGGCAGCTGTTAAGAAGAACAGACGTATCTTGAAGGGAAGTGTCAAGGATGCCAACTACTTTGTCGGAAGTGGAGATGCACCAGCATCTGCTATCGATGGTGTCTTGAACGATGTTGAGTTGGTCCAAGGCAAGATCGATCCTGATGAGTGTGCTGCTTTGGCTGGCAAGCTCAACGGCTTGAAGATCGCTGATGAAATCAAGAATGTCTGGAGCGAGGAGGTCAAGAGATTGGTTGGTGCTGGTAAGCTCAAGGAGGGTGAGGCCAAGAACCTTGCTTAAGTTTGGGTGAATCTTGTACTTGTACATGATGGGGCGTAGTGGTAGAAATAATTAGATATAGAATGAAACTTCATGACCTTTCTAGCGATTCTTGACTTATCTCGTGTGTTTCTATGTGCTCCTACGTGTTATACATTTTACAAATTCGCATCCAGGGGCTAATCAACCGAGCGAGCTACTTCTATAATCTTGACATCGTTGTAGTACCAGCTTACACTAATATTTTGAATGAGATTTCTGGGAACATCCCCCTTTCTCTCCCTTTTTTGATTAATACCAGATGCACAACACACTCCCATTTCATCACTTTCCTCTAAATCATATTTCTCTCTTCCCGAAATTCCTTCGCATTCATATAGTGGCGTCTACATCATGCGTAACCTTGCTTCACATCACATCGTATTGCGTGTATCACAATCAAAGTCCACATAGGCAACAAGATTGACGTTTATCAATTTTCGATTAGCAGCTAGATAACTAAAGAACCAAGGGAATAAAGAAAAGTAGCAAGCGAGCGAGCGACTTTATCCTGCCCATCACCCATTTCGGTCAAATCGATAACTAAGATGTAATGAATGTAGCTGAATATGACCATTCCACTTACTGCCAATCTGATGCCTAGATATACCTTGGGCCTGTTATAACGTCGTGAATTCGTAAATCATGAGAAAGAAATGGTAAACATTGATTGTGAGCATAATAGATACTTTCGACCATCGTCATGAATTCGTAGACTGAGAAAAGGAAAACTCGAGGGGATGACGATGTGGAGAGCGACTGGTAGCTTTTTTGAGAGAGAGGGTTCCCTCTTGAAAAGTGGGGATTGAGATAAATGAAGTGTATTGCATGAACTGCGTAAACTTGCTGAAGCAAAAGAAGCGAGATTGCGTGGTTTCGAGGACTGAAAATGCAAGAAGATGATCGAGTGAGGAATTTGCGGAACGATAACCGTGTAGGACGGGATACAAGGCCGCTACCATGGCGAGACTGAGCAATGGGAAGATACTAGAAAAAGTCTTGATCCTCAGATTTTAGAATTTCGCCGTCAGGTTCTTGAGTTCCCAGCCTCAACAAGTCGGCCATGTCATCTGAAAGCTCGCCGTCTGAAGGCTCATCTTCGACTGGAGCTGGCTGCTTCTGAGCTGCAACTTCTGGCTTAGCCTCCCAGGCCTTGTAAAGCTGTTTGAAATGGGGTTCGAGAGCATGGCGCAACTTGACCTTCATAGTTGAGGTAACTCTTCTTGAATTATGACGAGTTCCTGCGGCTGTGTGGTGTTCAAGAACGTCATTGAATTCTTTCTTAATCGCATCTAGGCTGTTGACGAAATTTTTCTCGAGTTTAGTAGAGGCCTCTCCGAAAGCTTTCTCGAAAGCCTTTTTCATTTTAGAAGATGCATTGTTGTACATTGCAAGACCACCGTCACCTTCGAGGTGGGCCAGATGAGCATTTTTGCTGCGTTGAAAGAGACCAGGTCCTTGTGTAGAATCAGTGATGTGCGTTCTATGAGTGAGGTTGACTACATACCTGATTCATTACCACATGTTTCGTAGACTTCTTCCCCTGTCTGATATTAGGTTTCATATCGGGCAAAATTTAGCATCAACTTACATGTTTCTCCACACTCTGATTTAACAAGTCTCCAGATATCTTTGGAAGAAGCATCGATACCATCAAATGTGTCATCGGCACCCCGCTTGAGTCGGCGTCGGTGTGCTAGAACACCATCCTTGATATTCTCAAAACTGTCCCGAATGGCAAAAGAGATATCATCAGCTGCACCTAAAGCCAGCTCGACGAAATCTGTGATGAGACTTTCGACTCTATCGTGATAAGGCTTGTTAAATGCTGGCAGCTTTTGGTGAACAACTTCTTCCCATAGTTTCGTGAAAGGTTGTAAAAACACCTTATTCCTGTTCATTGTTAGTATCTAACACAGGCACCGACAAGTTTAACATACATATCTTCATTCCAATCCAATGTCTTTTTACCACGTCGAAGCCATACTCCCTGCCTCTTGTTGATTGCTCTGTAAGTATTCCAGGGTGTTTGATCTAGCCACGTATCGAGGACTAAAATTCTCTGTTCAGCATATGCCTTTTTCGCGAGATCATCAAAGTGAGTGTAGAATTCATCTACAAAAAGCTTCTCGACAGCACTGCAGGTTTCTAGATTGAGCTTCTCAAATTCCTAGGATACCGGTGTTAGAATTGACAAGTCAAGGAGTACGCGATAGAGAATGAAAGCCACTTACTTTTTCTAAAGCTCCATATAGACTATCAAGCTTCGTTTCGACAATAGCTCGCTCATGAGCTAACATCTTGAAGTCAGCGATTGTATCAGCTGACCACACGTCAAGCAATCTCGCTGCATTTGCAACCTCTTCGTTGAATGTACAAGCATTTTTCAAACGAGTTTCCCATGTAGTGGCAATCAGAGCATCACGAAATTTAGGAATGCCAGTATCATTTTTCGTGAAAAATCCACTCTCAAGTGCCTTGGCTTGGTAGCCATCATTCAGATGTCGAAATCCTTGCGCAGAGACACAAAAAATTCGCAACGGGGTTGTAGCCTCTTCGTCCCCAAGTTCTCGCATACCAGATTGATATTCCTCGGTGACTTTTTGGATCTGGACTTGGCATCTATTCTTGATACACTCAGCCTTGATTCGGCAGTCAGTGTTTGCCAAATCCTTTCCGATGGTCTCCTTGATAGTTTGGGCTTTCCAGTGTTTTTTCAGAACTTTATTGTGTTCTTTTTCCACATAGATTCGAGCATTTTTGACTTGAGAAAGTGTTGTCATCGTCGGTGTAGGTTCTGTGAGAGGGTTGTGTTAATGGTTGCTATGAGTTCACAAAATGAGAGACTTAGAAACATACCATCATTCACATCACGTTTGCGTTTTTGACTGGCTTCTTCTGTGTCAGTCATTGCTTGAAGCTTATCATCTAATTTCTTTAGATTCTTAATTCCCTTTGCGATTTGTGAAGTGAGTTCATCCAATTCAATGTCGATTTCTTTCAGGCGTTTATCTCTATTTTGTCGGTGCTCAAGATCTTGGGCCAATCTGAGTTTCAGTTCTTCATGAGTGTCGATGTAATAATTCACATCCAAGGAATGATCGATTTTGGAGATGACAAAAAAAAGTGAGTTTGCATTGAAAATCCCCTGTAAAAGATCAGTAAATATGCGTAGATTCTGAGAAAATGACATACATCAAACTGCATGCTTCTCTTGTGTACGGAATCGAGAATCTCAATAGCGCCTTCATCAGTCGCAGCTCTTACGCCAGGCGCGAGAACACAGGAGATGTTCAGATTTTTCATATGTTTGCGAGAAATGGCATTCCTAGCTGCGCTAGTGTCGTGAACGCCTGGGAGGTCGACAAATACAATGCCACCCTTGAGAATAGATGACTTGGTAAAAAGTCTCACGACCTTGACGAATGGCCAACATGAAATACTGACAGTGCCATCTTTTTTTTTGCTGGTGTCAATGTATGGCTTGATCTTACTAGAAAATTGTTTGAGATCTCCAGCTTCAATGATGCGTTTCTTGTCCATTAGATATCGGGGACAGTCTCTAACTAAAAGCTTATCGACTGAAGTTTTGGCCCAGTCGTTGAGAGATTCGAGCTCAGGAAACACACACTTGAACTTTTTAACAGTATTTTGCATTCTTCGCATGATCTCCGCGTCCCTATCCTCTCCCCGATCAATATCCGAGTCCCATTTTGCTTTGTCTTCATAAAGCTCTTCGAGCTCTTTTCTAATTTCGGACTCGCTGACTCCTTCAATAGAGGCACGATATGAGCAGTCAGGTGCGTCACTATGATTGTACGAAACTTCAACGATAACAGCCGTTGAAGCTTCTTCATCACTGACAGGTAATAGATACCTTTCGCCGAGAAGTGCATTGATCACAGATGATTTGCCAGTTCCACTGCCACCAAGGAACCCAATGTGCATTCGACATTCCCTCTTTTCTTTGTAAACTTGCACTGTGTCTTGTATCAGTCACAGACCATAAAAAAATGCAGAAAATTGAGAACTCAATAAACTTACTGTGCCTATCTATCCTGTGCTTGACGGTTGGAATACTGAAGCGAGCAGCCTCCAAACAGTCTGTAGCTGCAATCATGAAGGTATTGGCATGTTCGGCAGCCTCTTCCTGAATATTTACTTTCTGTACAAGATCTTCCTCGGAGAGATCGCTCTGCCATAAAACTTTCGGTCTAGACATTGATGCTGGCTTCAAGGTTCCCCGCAATGACAGCTCTGCTAATGGCTTGCTGGACTTGGATTCTGAAGTCGCTTTACGGGCTGCAGTCATGAAGCTGATCTGCTTCCTCAGTGGGACTTCAGGAGTTGGCTTCTTTCTGTCGGTGACAAACAGAGACTCGTCGTCGGAAGATGGAGATGCGCCAGGCTCATCTTTGACAGATTTGGCTGCCATCACGGTTAAGCTTCTGAGCTTCTTTTGAGTTAAATTTGAAGACTGATTCCAGGATATTCACAGAGCAGAACGAATTAAGAACCCTGTGATCGCCGGGGCGATTCAGTATTGGCTTGAAATGGGGTTGTGAGTGATAAAAAGAAGGGAGAGGGAAGTTGAGAGATCAAGTACTAAATAGAATATACGAACAAAATGTGAAGATAAAGGTGGGGCGGTCCAATCTTAAAGGTTGACTTTGAAGCTGAACAGATGTTAATGCTATGCGAGCAAGAAAACAGAGAAGGTCGGGCTGAAAGCGAAAGTTCCGAAGTACGGGATGGGTAAAATTCACTTCAATTCGGATTGAGGCAGCTCATGAATCCATAGCACTTATAGTGATAGATTGGAGCATCAAACTGAAGGTTCAAAATAATTGTGAATACTTAGATACTGATGGGGAGAAGCACTTTAGTGCAAGTGCGGGGTACCCAGGTAGTAAATAAAAAGCAAAACGGCACTCCTGATGCAGGGAAAAATCAAGCAACAGCCATACCTCCGCAAATAGCAGGATTTGCTGTGACGAGGACATGCAAGGCGTTTTTCAGACCTTGCCATAGGGATGACTTGGTTATAGACTCAAAGAGAAATATATGATCTCCCCATTCGGTCACTTATCAACCACTATCAGATGCATTTAATTCTTCAACACTATGTACATGCATTCCTTAATGGCACCTCACCACTACCGAACTATGATGCCATATAGATAGATCATGGGCCGTAGTGTGCGTAAATTTGTCGTTTACGTAGATGCACAGGGGTTTCGCCTGCGGGGGTATCTGGAATAACCTTCTCGATTTTCTATGCACAGCCCATATGATTAGTAGCTGTTCTTCATTGTAGATTGGGAGAAATGACATACCAGATTGTCAAAGACACATTTGTTAAGCTTCCACTCTTGTGGTCGACATTGCCATAGTTGTTGGTTGTTATTGTCGAGGCATTTCCTACAACATTATTAGATGCGGTTGATTCCATCACATCCGGATTCGTAACTTACCAGTGTTTCCTGAACTCCTCAAGACAGTGTTTGTTCACATCTTCAATTCTATGATTGGGGATTAGCCTAGAGTTCTACTGGTAAAAGTCCAAGTATCCAGTCAGGGTTTGCTCCAAATCGCAAGCCTGTTCATCGATGTTTGAAGCTCCACATCCGCAACCTCATAAGGAGTAGCACTTACACGCTCCTCGCACACCTGGTAACTCTTCGGCCCTCCTTCAAACAATCAATCTCTCCCTTTCCAGGATTGTCGTTCTTGCATTGCATGAAATCATCATTGTAAGGTCTGCATCTTGCGCCGATAAAGAAACTCGCGGACAATAATGGCGCCGAACTGCTACCAATTTCTGTGACGGGTGGAATATCAGCAGGTAATGGGGTAGTGTCAATCAAGACTTGCTGATTGAATCTGTGATCGCGGTTAGCATCAAGTAGAAGGATGGTAATGTGCAAGCCTAAAAACGTACCTAGGTTGACGGGCAGCCATTTTGAGATATGTTGTGAGGAGATACTGGGTTCGCAAAGCCCGTAATTGAGTGTTTTGGAGGTTCAATGCAGTATGAAGCTTTAAGGTCAAGTCAAAAACGCGGAAGTTGATTGGCTCATCAGCCGACCTCTCAGCAGTCGCGACCGATCAAAAGAGCTTCGTCCCGACAACGAATTTATGTTCCAGCAAAATAAGAATTCAATTCACTACCTATACCTTTCACCCTGTGAAAAATATTGTATCAGCTTCAACATTGAACAGTATCTCGCCAATTAATTCTATTGTTCATGTTTTAGCTTAGAAAATCTAAATTGCCGCAACGTATATCCGATAAATTATTACAGTCCCAATAATATATCATCAAGCGCGTTCGCAAGGTCAACATTTTCTTAACTAGCTGCAATTATCCATTGTACTACAATCTCCTCGAGGCTGCTTGCATCTTCCTTCAGTGATTCTATTTCGGCACTTCTATAATCCCGGACGCATAGAAGAACAGCTATGTTTGGAAGTACTTTCGGTCAAAGCCAGCCAGCTGGCGGAGGTTTGTTCGGGTCAACAAATACCGCACAACCTTCAGGTGGTTTATTTGGATCTACAAATACCGCGCAAAAGCCAGGAGGATTATTTGGCTCGACTACAACCACAGGAGCTCAAAATCAGGGAGGAGGGCTCTTCGGCGGCGCAGGGCAAAATACTCAACAAAATCAACAACAGACTGGCGGACTTTTTGGTGGAGGACTAGGAACAAGCACTCAACAGAACCAGCCTCAAGCGGGAGGATTATTTGGAGCAAATGCACAACAGCCGCAGCAGCAGCAACCGGGAGGATTATTCTCTGGACAGACTATGGGAGCGCAGCAGCAAGCGGCCCAGCAGCAGCAGAATACAATCCTGGGAGGATCACAGCAACAGACTGGTTTATTTGGGCAGACGCAATCGTCGCAAGCTTTGGGCCAGTCACAAGGACAATTTGGAAATTCTTTGTTTACAAATACAAGTGGACTGAAACCTCGTACGTACCTATCGAGACTCATTCAAAGCGCGAACTAATTTTGATGTAGGAGAAAAGAGTGTGATAGACCAGATTGAAACAGTTGTGGGTAAATGGGATACAGGAAGCAAGGACTGTGCCTTCCAATATTTCTTCTATAATAACGTTGGCGTGGACGAAGCACCATTCTACCAGCCACAACCCAACGAAGACCCAAGAGCTTGGGAAGAAGCCCTTTCGAAAAAGCCAGGACCTGGATATATTCCAGTCGCATGTATCGGTTTCCAAATGATGGGCGACAGGATCAAAGCTCAGCAAAATCATCTTGCAGCATTCAATATTCGGTTACATGATATCAATGCTAGTTTGTCGAACCTACTTCAAAATCACGACACGAGAACGAGTATACGGGCAATGGATGCGAGGAGGAAACATGTCGTCTTGAAACAACGATGCATAGCATTGGCAACCAAAGTGCAGGTCCTAAGAAACAGAGGCTATGCGCTTAGTGGAGACGAGGAGGACCTGAAGGCTAAACTTATTAAGATAGAAAAGGGGGCTAGTGATCCGGCACTGGGTGCCAGAGCAGAAGAGATTTGGGCTCGAATGATCAACGTCCAAGAGCGAGGTCGGCTATTGAGGACGGAGCTGGAGAAGGTTGGGCAAGAAAATGGAGAGATTTTGGACGACACCATGACCGCGCGATGCAAGAAGGTAATTGTTACAGATTCTACCGAAGTAATGATATGATGCTGACTCACAAATTAGATTCTTGAAGACTATCAAACTCAATTAGCACATTTGAAAAAGGAGTTGGATAGGGTCCACAAGGATTATGTCGAATGGGAAAAAGAGCAGCCACCACAAATAGCAGCGAGGACAAGATTTGGCCGATGATTGATGCGAAATACCCATGGTTAATTTAATCGGAAGTGCTTTAGACTTCATGGAGTTGGTTGGGATGTAAAAAAGGATAGGCATTGTATAATATGGAAGCTTAATTACAGACTAATAGTAGTAATTTCTCTTTCACTTCAAATCGATCGCAAATCACTGTCTATAATATATTGATTTTGAAGGTTAGGCTTATGCACATGTCATAATTACGCCCTTATCATTTCTCTCCTTGGGGCCAAGTGACTCATAGCCTAAGACCAATCTCCTATAAAGATAAGAAATCTCATTTGATGTCGAAATTCAAAACACTTCATCTGTACTTTCAAGCGACCAACTGATTTCCGCAAACCTTTCATTCAACATGTCACCACCCCCGATCCCACCCGTATCCCTCTACCCCGCCGACTTCGAGACATCCTTCCCTACCGTCTCCCCAAATTTCCCTCCCTTCCCCTCTCTAACCCCTCTCTCCCATGCCACAAATCGCATTTCCCTCGTTCCACTCTCTGCAGACCACATCCCGGACCTCTGGAAACACGTCGGCGGAGCGGAAAATTACATGCTCTACAAATATATGCCCAGCGGACCCTTTAACACCATTGAAGACTTCACAGCATATCTCACGTGGCTTATTAATTACTCTGAATTTAGCTTCATCAATTGGGCAATCATCTTACCAAGTGGAGAAGCAGTGGGAATTATAAGTCTGTTGAATATTGTACCAGATCAGAGGAGAATTGAGGTTGGCCATGTGTTATTCTCAAAGATACTGCAGAGAACTACAGAGGCAACGGAAGCTTGCTTTGTTTTGATGGAGTATTGTTTTAAGTTGGGGTATGAGAGGGTGGAGTGGAAATGTAATGCGGAGAATATGGGAAGTAAGAGGGCGGCGGAGAGATTGGGGTTTGTAGCGGAGGGGCTTTTCAGGAGACACATGGTCGTGAGGGGACGGAGGAGGGATAGTTGGTATGGGAGTGTGATTTTGGATGAGTGGGAGGGGGTCAGAGAGGCGCTAGTGGAGTGGTTGAAGGCGGAGAATTTTGATGAGAAGGGGGGGCAGAAAAGGAAAGTGGAGGAGATCAGGGGGGAATTGCTGAAGAAGTTTGACTAGAAAGTCTATGGGAGGCGGGGCGAGACTGGTGGGAGAAGGGCATAAGAGAGCGAAAATTTCTGTTTCATATAGACTTGATTTGATAGATTCACAGAAACATGATCTTGTATGACGTATGTAGTAGCAGCATTCCGGATATTACAAAATGTGTTTTCGTTCATGTGTAAACCCGTTTTGATAACCTCTCTCGTCTTTGGCTGCGATGCCTTGAAGAGTAGAGTTACGCTTCTAGAGCTCTTTATAGAGTATATTTATGATCCCCTCTCGATCCTCGAAACTTTTACTCTCTAGCACGAAAGAAATATAAGTGACAATGCCAGCAATTCATATATGCAGCGCTTGTACATTATATCCATGCGTATTCCCATCCTATTGTACACCTCCTCGATCTTCTCATGCGCTTATGTTGTACAGGTCATGATGCATTATTCGTTTGCAATCCTAGATGAGGTTTTGAATGCTCTTGACGGCGAAAGGTGCTATAGTAAAGTCAGTACAGATAGGGTACCCATAGAAAAGAGTAAAACATACAAAGATAAAGAAGAATAGACCATGTAATGACTCGTTGCACGGTGAGGGTAGCTTCTTCCTCTTGAGCCTTAAGCTCGGCAGCGGATGGTGGTGGTGGTGCTAGAATTGAAGTTAGGAAAGTTCGCAGATATGATTTAGAGATGTCACCTACGTCCTCCGAACATTTTTGTGGTATAAAACTGTAGATGTGTTGAAGTATTGAGGTCGACGATGAGTTGATGTTTACACACTACAATTATGAATTTTAATCTTTCTTCCCGTCACATTTGCTTACTACTTCCATGTGCGTAATTAGCACATTTAAGGTTTCTTGGTACACTAAACTGAAAACGGTTTCGTGGCTCATCAATCACTGTTTTGAGTGAATCTTTTTTTCGGCTTGACTGAACTTATCTTGTCATGAATCCTTATCCCGCCTCTAGTTCTATCATATTAGAAAAAAAAGTTACTAGTTGGATAATCTTTAGATTTCATATAAAATAGACTCATCTCTCATCTTTTCATTTATCTATACTCACTGTCGTTTTCCTTTATTATTTCATAAATCTCATATCTGATACCATCTCTATCATCTTATCTGAATGTGGGGTTTATGACACTCGGTGCACCCACAATCCTAGTTGTTCCTAATACTTCCGGACCCCTCCCCAGAATTCAACTTTCTCGTACAGCTCACTCCTAAATTCACCGACTCTCTCTCTTGATAAGTTTCGCAACCAAAACTTCAGGTTCAAGAGCTTCGCGGATTTCTGCAAACTCAAGAACAATGGTTGCCTCAAGTCTTGCACTTCGTGCGAGATTTGCTCGAGTGGCGCTTCAATCGAGAAGTGCTTCTTTGAGAAGCTCAACCATCACACGACCATGGAGCTCTGGTCAAACTCCATGTTCTGCTACGGTTTTGAAGCCAATTGGGCGACGAACTTTCTTCAAAAGCTCTGCAAAGGATGAGACAATCAATTCGCCTTCGACTTTAAGTTCCAGGGGAGTGTATGCTCCTTTGGATACCTTTGCGCGCCGACATATTGGCCCTGATGCGGATTCTACAGAACAAATGTTGAAAGCTTTGGATCCGCCAGTCAAGAGTTTGGACGAGTTTGTGGAGCAAGTTTTACCTCGCGACATATTGTCTTCTAAAGATCTCAAAATCGACGCCAAATCGGAATCGTCACAAGAAGGGTTCACGGAATCTCAATTGCTTGCGAGACTAAAGTCGATTGCGTCCGAAAATACGATTATGCGAAGTTATATTGGATGTGGATATGCCGGAACCCGAGTTCCGGAGGTTATCAAGAGAAATGTGTTGGAAAGTCCAGGATGGTATACAAGCTACACGCCATATCAACCTGAGATTAGTCAAGGTCGGTTAGAATCGCTTTTAAATTTCCAAACACTTGTCTCCGATTTGACGGCTTTACCGATTTCCAATGCCTCGCTACTCGATGAATCCACCGCCGCTGCTGAAGCTATGACCTTGTCAATGAATGCCCTTCCACTTGCTAGACAGAAGAGCAAAAATAAGACATTTTTTGTCAGCCATCTAGTCCACCCACAGACACTAGCAGTTTTACAAAGCCGAGCAGATGGATTTGATATAAAGATTGAAGTTGGAGATGTCCTTGCAGATGGTGGAGCTCGCCTCAAGGAACTTGGCAATGATCTCATTGGAGCTTTGGTACAATATCCTGATACCGAGGGTGGCGTAGAAGACTTCCGTGGTCTAGCAGATGTCATTCATGCTCAAGGCGCAACTTTCAGTGTTGCTACTGATCTTTTAGCTCTTACTGTTCTCACACCGCCTGGTGAGTTTGGTGCTGATATTGCTTTCGGAAATGCTCAGCGTTTTGGTGTCCCATTTGGTTATGGTGGCCCACATGCCGCTTTCTTCGCAGTCAGTGACAAATATAAGAGAAAGATTCCTGGACGTCTCATTGGTGTATCGAAAGATAGGCTAGGGGACAAGGCAATGAGATTGGCTTTACAAACTAGAGAACAGCATATCCGCAGAGAAAAGGCTACTAGCAATGTTTGCACGGCTCAAGCATTATTGGCCAACATGAGTGCATTCTATGCAGTCTACCATGGACCAGAAGGTCTCAAGGCTATTGCTGAGAGAGCTATTCAAGGAGCTCGATTTGTTCAGGATGGACTCAAGAGCCTTGGATTTGAGACCAACTCCAGAGGAACGGGCTCCGACGGAAAAGTTCTCTTTGACACGGTCGTGGTTGATGTTGGACAGGGTAAATCTGATGAAGTCCTCAACTATGCCACCGAGACTTTCAAGATTAATCTAAGAAAGTTCGATGATAGCCGACTTGGTATCACTATTGACGAAACGGTTGACATCAAGGACCTTGAAGACATCATATCTGTGTTTGCCAAATTTTCCAAGACAGGATCTGGATCTTTCAAGAACACTACTGAGTTGCAAGCCTCTTTTGATAGTTCGATTCCTGCAGAATTGAAGAGATCATCGCAATACCTCACTCATCCAGTTTTCAACACACACCACTCCGAAACCGAGATTCTCCGTTACATCCACCACCTCCAATCAAAGGATTTGTCCCTTACACATTCCATGATACCACTGGGCTCCTGCACAATGAAGCTCAATGCTACCACCGAAATGGCTCCAGTTACATGGCCGGAATTCTCTTCAATTCATCCATTTGTTCCTACTAATCAGGCAACTGGTTACAAGACTATGATCGATGAGCTTGAGGCCGATCTGGCTACTATCACTGGATTTGATGCAGTATCTCTGCAACCAAATTCAGGTGCACAAGGAGAATTTACTGGGTTACGTGTGATTCGCAAGTTCCAAGAACAACAGCCTGGGAAGAAGCGTGATATTTGCTTGATTCCTGTTTCTGCCCATGGTACCAACCCTGCATCAGCTGCTATGGCAGGTATGCGCGTTGTTACTGTGAAATGTGACATCAAGTCTGGTAACCTCGACATGGCAGATCTCAAAGCAAAATGTGAGAAATATAGCGAAGAACTTGGGGCTATCATGATCACATATCCAAGTACTTTTGGTGTTTTTGAGCCAGAAATCAAGGCTGCATGTGATATTGTCCATCAACATGGAGGTCAAGTATACATGGACGGCGCCAATATGAATGCTCAAATTGGATTGTGTTCACCTGGAGAGATCGGTGCCGATGTATGCCATCTTAATCTCCACAAGACATTCTGTATTCCTCACGGCGGTGGTGGTCCAGGCGTTGGTCCAATTGGTGTTAAATCTCATTTGGCACCATTCCTACCTGGGCATCCATTGGTAAAGACTGGTGGTGAGAATGCCATTGCCCCAGTCAGCGGGGCTCCTTTCGGAAGTGCTAGTATCTTGCCAATTAGTTGGGCTTATGTGAAGATGATGGGCGGTAGAGGATTGACTCATGCTACCAAGATCACTCTTTTGAATGCCAACTATATCATGTCTCGTCTCCGACCTCATTACCCAATCCTGTACACTAACGCAAATTCTCGATGTGCTCACGAGTTCATCCTCGATGTCCGTGGTTTCAAAGAGTCGGCAGGTGTTGAAGCTATTGATATTGCCAAGCGTCTTCAGGATTATGGTTTCCATGCTCCAACTATGAGTTGGCCAGTCGCTAATACCCTTATGATCGAGCCCACTGAGTCTGAAAGCAAGGAAGAACTTGACCGCTTCATTGATGCATTGATATCAATCCGCAAAGAAATCCAAGCCGTGGAAGATGGCACTATTCCAAAGGCAGGCAACGTCTTGAAGAATTCGCCACATACTCAGAAAGATCTTCTTATCGGAGAATGGAATCGCCCATACACTCGAGAGCAGGCTGCATACCCATTGCCTTATCTCAAGGAGAAGAAATTCTGGCCATCCGTTACCAGACTTGATGATGGTAAGCTTCTCTACATTCATCTAACATTTCATTTACTAACATACCTTAGCCTACGGTGATACCAATCTCTTCTGTACATGCGGACCCGTGGAAGCAACTGAAGATGCTGAAAACGGCATCACCGGTGTTTCGGCTCCACAACCTACATAATAGCATTTTAGCATTTTGTTTTGCACATTTTAACATTTAGCGAGCATATGGTTAACTTTTTCTTTCGGGTGGGAAAGGAAAGGTTAATGTCAAAAGGAATTTCAACATGAATAATTCAACATTGGGAGGAGTTGTGGGTATCTATCTATCATGTATTATGATATGATGTGATGTGATCATGACTTGGGATGCATAAGGCGTTTAAGACTACACAAATATATAGAGGGTTCTTTGGCTTCAACCGCCAGGAGGGGATTGGGACTCATGAATGAATGGATCAATAGATGGTTGCTCATATGGTTTATATTTTGCTTTGATGTTTATAGATCAGTCGCTTCGGGGGGGAGCTTGATTGTGTGTGATGAATGGGGGAAATTTGCAGATAGGAATTGCGAAATATATAAGCAATGATATCTTGTACATTTCTGGCCCTCACGTGGTTGTGATTGATCCATCCTGCTGTGAGACATTGAATGTCTAAATACAAGGTCCCAAAGTGGGATAAAACATTTACATTCTCAGTCATTACAACTATGGGACGAGTGTCCCTCCTGCGCGCATTCAAATCCCAAAAGATCTCGTACCTTCGGGGGAGGGGGCTAGCTTTTCAGTTGGATCGCTCCAAAGTGTAGCCTGTGAAGTACGAAATTTGAATGCATATTTTTCAGAAGCTTCTAGTATAGAGCAGATGAACCTCCATACGCAACGTTCTGCAATGTTTAATCTATCTATCATCGGTGACCATGAGGCGTTTGCTCTTCTTATTGGTGTTTAAGAAGAGACCATCTCTGATACTCTGTTGATGAGGAGCCCAAATACAAACAGTCGGAGCTCCATTATTGCATCCATTTACTGGAGCCAGTTGTGGCAATATACTAAAAGTCTCTCAAAAGTGTTTTGGTGCGTGTATAGTTTTTACGGGAGCAGAATTGTCGTGCTGCCAGTTTCAAAATGTGTTGAAATTGTAAGTTATTTATTCTCTTTAATCCGAATTCAGTTTTTTCTAACCCATAACTTTCAAACCATCATTTTCATTATTGCCGCCAGCTTTCTAGCCAATTACCTCCATCATGCTCATGATAAACTTATCTTTCTGACAGTTGCTGCACAATTTAAGTCATCACAGTTCTGCCTTTTATGATCATAATCATGGCGCCGTGCCATGGCCATTATAAGAAATGTGGACATTGGCTGCTTTGCAAGCCTCAAATACCTCAGCACAGCGTTCCTCACCTTCGAAATTATGGATTTCCTTGTTGCATCAAGCCACAGACTACCCAAATACAATTGAACGTAGTCCTATGCATTGTGTATCTTTATTCTTCACAATTTCACAGATGAAATCGCTCAGCTCCTCTAGTTCAAGATCTGTATCATCATTGAAAGTGCCAAAATTTCTCTCATAAACAGGGATAAAAGAGAAGAATTTCAGCCAATCATATTCGTAATTCATCTCAATGCGCAGTTTCTCAAGAGCAGGCAGAAGAATTTCGAGATTGCCGTGGCGGAATAGGAGATACCATAATAGGCCGCGTCTGACTGAGAGGTGAACAGAAAATTAAGTGGGAGCCCAATGTATCTTAAATTGGCGAATGAATGAAAGTCAATGGGCTACCTTGGATCAAAGCTAGGCTCATCACTAGTGGTGCGGCCTTCGATGAAGAGTTCTTCAAGGCTATGTTCATGCGGTTACAGAGCGTCGCTGAATTCTTTCGCTGATAAAACGAATCTATCTGGGCGAGGAGAACTTTCGAGCCGCCGATAATTACTAATCTCGGAAAGCGCGAGCTCGTAACGGAGAGACTTTAGAGCCTTTGGCTACGATAAAAGCTTCGTCAAGCCTCGATCTGCTGGCATAGTGTTGGTGAGGGATAAGGATGTAATTTTTGAGGCACTCGATCTATCGCGAGGGGGGGGCTATTCTTCATGAATAAATCCCAATCTTGAACGCCAGATAGAGCGAGTAGTTTCATGTCAGGGAAACCAAAAGATGAAAGGATTAATTCCTTGTACGTAACATTTTGAAGATCTCTTGTTTGGTTATCGATGTCATGTCTTTCTGATATTTCAACTTCCAAGCAGGTGGCAAGAAATATGAGTGCTCTGTTTCGGAACATTGTGTCCAATGCGCACTTTAGATGAAGATATGCAAGAGAGGGTCGCAGAAGCTGGACTACGGAAAATACAGATTCTTCTTGATCTGGTCGATAAGTAATAGAAGCACCAACAACGTAGGAACGTATCACTTCGGATTCGGTGACGGTACGGAGGAAGAGATCCAGGTCAAACATACGTGCAGTGCCATATATTTGATCCGTGTTATAATAAGGTGATGATCTTAAGTGCTGATATCTGCTCCTCCAATCCAGAAAAGCTTGGAGCATTCTGACTGCACTTACGATCCCACAGATCCAAGACTTCCGATAACTAGCGAGTTTTAACCCCTAACGAGCTTCTTTGTGCACGTTTTCCAATTGTCCGGTAAGATAGACTTATGGGCATGGGCTCTGAGCCTACATTGAAGAATGTGCTCTTCTAATCTTGTATTGACCACACACAATTACTTCAAACAGAGAACCATTACACGGAATCTCAACTATTCAATTTACAATGTGTATACAACTACATAAATTCAACTAGAACTTAATAAGTAGCAGCCAATCTCTGTACCAGATACTCTCCCGAATTAATCCCCTCATATTTTCTCTCCCCAAGCTCCCCTCCATACGTCCCCTCAATTGCCTCAATCATCCGATCGAAATTTGGATTGCAAAAGTACGCAATACTATATCTCGCCGGATAGACACCCTCTTCCGGAACCTCTTGCCCCTCCTTAGGAGGCGGTTCTACAACCCTATGCAATGTACTCCTAATAAAATCATTACTCCACCTCGCCAATAAATCTCCTGCATTAACTACCACGGTTCCCGGCACCGGTGTCGCATCAACAAATGTTCCTTTGGGACTCTTTACTTGAAGTCCTCCTCTATCATCTTGGAAAAGAAGTGTGATACTCCCATAATCTGTATGCTCCCCAGCTCTAACTTGCAATTTATTTTCCTTGAATACACTTGCTTTCGCAGGTGGATAATGTAGTAAGCGAAGTGTATTATCCCCCGCACTTGTGAATCCATCGAAATAGGATTCGGGAAGCGACATTCCAAGAGCAATGGCTCGCATGACATTTATATGAAGCTCCTTGCACAAATCATGGAACTTCAACATCGTCTCTTTAAACTCTTTGGCATCAGGGTCTGAGGGAGTAATAGCCGGCCAGTTATTAGGTAGTTGTTCTTGACCTTCTCGTCCAATCTCAAAACTCTCTTTCAAATCTGGCGCTTGGGCTTTCAATTTCTCAACCTCTTCTTTGTCTGTGAGTGTGGTGGTTTTCTCGCGACCATGAGCTACATATCCGCGGTTTGCGAGTGGTGTGGTCCAGGCTAATGGATCCTTTTCAGAAGAGGGACGAGCGAAGAATTTGGCGGATGTGGAAAAGGTATGGGATAGGATGGGTGGGGGAATAGGGTGGTGGGAAAGGTAGATAAATCCTGCGGTGCGGAAACCGTGGAGAATGGATTGAGCGGTTTGGAGACGTTGTGAGGGAGTGCCAGTTAGGAAGTGAGAGAAGTTTATTATCTGTGATGGAGTATTGTTAGTATAAAAGTAAGTGTAGATATGTGTCGAGATGAGGAGAAGAGGGGAAAGCGGATCGAAATGACGGGAGATTTACAGGAATGACGAGATTATCGACATCCACAGCTTTTGTTACTTCTATCGACATCTTGTCTGATGCTGCTCTTCAATATTCACAATATCGTCGTCGTTACCAAAATAAAGCCAGACAAAATTACGTTTCTACTAAGAAAGTTTATATCACCCAAACCCCTCACTTAAAAACGCCGCACGCGGCCAAAGCCGCTCTCCGCATTCGGTCCAATGCAAGATAGTATGCATCTACTCTCCAAAACGGGCAGGTCAGTGATTCAAAAGGTAAGAGTTATGATAAGCATTTACGATTAAATGATAAGATAGGGTTATGATCGGGATTTAAATAGGAGGTGGGGCTGCTTGACAAGGGAGTACTAGTGCGGGGTAGGTTGATCTCTAGCTATCTTGATATTGTCATGCATTTTATTACATACGAGATTGAATTGCCATTGTATGATTAATCAAGTGATTTCGAAATATGTGTTCTCATGAGGAATGAACTTCTCTTTTTTTCATGTTTAAAATCTTCTACAAGCTCTTTTCGTGAATTTGTCCTGTATTCTATTCCTCTTCCTTTCGTCTGTTCCACCGCTTCCTCTACGCCGAAGATTGCTCAAAAACGACCCTCAGAATGTCCTCCTCGGTCCCGATAGTAGATATTCACACTCATATCTACCCGCCATCTTATATTGAGCTTCTCAAATCGCGCGATGAAATCCCTTATATAAGACAATTTCCTCCGGCGAAAGAACATCGATTGGTTATCTTACCAGCAGAGGATACACCGAGTACAAGTAGGGGACGACCGATTGGGTCTGAATAGTAAGTTGGAGTGTTTCATTTTATACATTTTGCTATTTTGAGATATTATAAGAGTAAAATCAGAGAAAAGGGAGGGAAAAAGATGGATTGGTGAGGATGAGTGAGATGAGGAATGTGTGTTTTATGGTAGAGGAAAAATCATCAAGATAGCGAGGATCAAGTGACCAGCCTTCCCAAATGACATACTCAGCTATGTAAATTCAAAGTATTGAACTCCATAATGAACAAGCAATCGATTCTATATCCACTTCTTGGTAGTCTATACACGAGAAAGACTCTTCAAGAATCTCCACTACCTCTTGTCCTCCCTACCTTTCATCGATATCTGCATTCAAACTTTCAAATATTCAAACTTATCCTCTAAACCTCTAGCTATGACATTTCCGAAAGAATTGCCTTCATGAACACCCACTCCATCCGTACCTCGATAATCTCCCTCGCAAACCCCTGGCTCGACTGGCTTCCCTCTACCACCGCCCTCCAAACCGCCCTATCAATCAACACCGAAATCAACTCTCTCTGCGCCCTCCACCCAACGCGCCTCTATTTCTTCGGCACGCTCCCCCTATCCGCCCCTCCATCCTCCATCCTCGAAAGCATCACCCACCTTAAAACCCTCGCCTACTGTCGCGGTATCATCCTCGGAACCAGCGGACTGGGCTCCGGTCTCGACGATCCCGCTCTCCTCCCCATCTTCAAAGAATTAGCCGCCAACAACTTCCCCATCTTTCTGCATCCGCACTACGGACTCCCAACCTCGGTTTTCGGCCCCAGGGGAAATGATTACGGTCATGTTCTTCCTCTCGCTCTTGGTTTCCCCATGGAAACCACCATCGCTGTCACCCGCATGATTCTCTCCTCGGTATTTACTTCTGTACCGGATCTGCAAGTAATTCTAGCGCATAGCGGTGGTACCCTTCCATTCTTGGCAGGGAGAATAGAAAGTTGCGTCTTGCATGATGCGCATCTAAAGGCTGAAGGAAAATTAGCCAAGGGGAGGAAAACTATCTGGGAAATCTTGAAGAAGAATATCTGGTTAGACGCGGTAGTTTATGGAGATGTAGGAGTGCGAGGAGCAGTTGGTGTGAGTGGTGCAGACAGAGTAATGTTTGGAACCGATGCGCCGTTTTTCCCACCGTTGGATGAGGAGGAAGAGGGAAAGGGAGAAGAAGCCAAGCAATGGCTAAGTGTTTCGATGAATAAAGATGCGATACGTAGCGCGTGTGGCGCGGGAAGCGAGGAGGAAAAAGCTATTTTGGGAGGTAATGCGATTCGACTTTTTGGGTTGAATTTGAATGCGTCTGGGTAGGGTATCTCGGCAAGGATTAGCATCGCATATCGTACATCAATATATCACATATTAAAAGGTCATAGCATAGTTTAGCATAGCGTAGTATACAAAAATAAAAGTACATTTTGAAGTTTTCAAAACGCAGAATTGCCTCACACATTCTACTTTTCCCGTGCATCTCACACTTCTCTACAGAGATAAGCTACGCTATATCGAGGTAGTCAAGGTCAATTGCTCAAAAGCAAGCAAAGTGAGGCAATTCAATAGATGAAAGTATGTTCCACATTCCACATTTCAAAGGTGTTTCTATCTCTATCTCTATCTCTATCTCTATCTCTATCTCTATCTCTATCTCTATCTCTATCTCTATCTCAATATACACCAATATCCACATCATCACTCACCCCCCTCCTCTCAATTCAAAGCCTCTACCCACCTCTTCTCGCTCAGTTCCCATCCCTGTCCTCACTCACAACCACAATCACAACCACAATCTCCACTACTACTCCCTCCACATAATCCCCCTCAACCTCTCTCTATCCTCCTCCCCACCAAAAATCGAATCAATCCCACTTCTCGCGAGCTTACAAATCGCATTTCTGTCGAGGTGAAAATGTTTTGCTACAAGTGCATATTCATCTGAAAGTTTACTTCCGAAGACTCCTACGTCGTCGGTCTGTGAGATTGGGTTTCCGTTAGTGGTTTTCTGTAGGAGATAGAAACTTTTCTTCGAGGTTTCTAATATGATACTTCCCACCCCATCCCATACTACTTAGACCGGCTCTCTACGCCCCCTTGGTCCTAGAAACCGTTGGATAAAGTAAAATAAAGCGAAATAATCAAAAGAGAAAGAGAAAGAGAAAGAGAAAGAGAAAGAGAAAGAGAAAGAGAAAGAGAAAGAGAAAGAGAAAGAGAAAGAGAAAGAGAAAGAGAAAGAGAAAGAGAAAGAGAAAGAGAAAGAGAAAGAGAAAGAGAAAGAGAAAGAGAAAGAGAAAGAGAAAGAGAAAGAGAAAGAGAAAGAGAAAGAGAAAGAGAAAGAGAAAGAGAAAGAGAAAGAGGACAGCAGAGGAAAAATAAACACATACACATAAAATCACTTTCGCGCCTTTTCCCCACCACTCCCCAAAATGATGATCTTCATACGTGCCTACGATCATTTTCGCATGAACATTACAACTCAAGCAAAGTTCCAATCCCAATCCCATCCTTTCAATTTCCGGTTTGAGATTTTCTGGTACATGGATTACATGTCCTATTCTATGCGGTTTATACGACAGAAGTGTTTCTAGTTCCGTACTGGTAGGTGCTTGCGCCACTTCTGCAAAATGGATTGTGATTTTGAGGTTGTATTTTTGAGCTAGGAGGAAAGCGGGTTCGAAGATGGATACATCGCCTACAGATGGGTCGCCACAAAGATCGATTCCTACGACTCCTTTGCCGTGGTATTTGTATGCTAGTTCCACGACATCCATAGCTGTTTGAGCATCATTTCGGCGGTCGATAGAGAGGATCAGGTTTGTTTTCATGGAACCATTGGAGTTGTTGTGTTGGGCGACGCAGTCGAGGATTGTTTGAACGTAGATCTCTTTGGTGATACCTGCGGAAGGAATAGCTCGAGGTGTGGTACGGAGCTCAAGATAGATGACGCCATCTGCTTGAAAGTCTGAAAGAACGGAGTTCGTGGTATAGATCAAGGAGGCAAGGTCGTTGACGAGAGCGTAGATATATTTGGAGAATAACGGAAAGAATCTAGAAAGACATGATATGAGATATGGAAGGGTTGCACGAGGTTAAAAAGTAAAGTATTCATGGCTCGAATTAATGAATTGAATCCAACCTTCTGATGATTGAATGGCTCGTAGTGCTTGAAAAGCTAAAAAATTCCAAGAACTATTTTGTCATCTGAATGGTTTTGCTGTGGCAAATGGATTCAACACTTCGAATCATTCCAACACCTCGGAAGATTCGAAATTTCAGTCAAACGCAAAAATAATAACAAAACCATGGCTAGATAGCAATCCGGAATATCGTCAAACTGTAAGGCTACTACTATGGCCTGCGTGTACGGTGTCAACAAATTCTTGATTGCTCATAAAAGCAATGGTTTGTTTGTCCCAGTATACTCAAGGCGGAAAGTTACAAACAGAATGGAAAACAACTCACGTTTCAAGATCATAATCAAATTTACCAACTGGCATCTCAACCAATGGATCTTGCGTTGTAGTCTCACCCTTTTCCCATTTCTGAAGCCATACTTCATGAAGACATTGTCGGCTGATACTTCCACTGAGATGAGCATGTAACTATGTAAGAAGTATCTTTCAGCCTTATATCGATATCATTCATGCAGCCGTTAGGGTAACAAAATCCAGTGGAGATTTGACGGACATTAAATCATATGTATGTACAGTATGAATATGCATGTAACCTTTAAGACTTACTTCAATTTTTGGCAAGGATATGAAATCAACAACCTCCGAGCTTGATGAATCCATTGCGCGAGAGTGGCTCCTTGATAAAGTGTCTCGAATGAATGAAGAAGATGAAACTACTGCGTACTGCGTAGAGAAACAATCTAGTTTTGACTTCTTCGATACAGTGTTTGTGTTGTCCTGGTCCTGCGGATGTTTGTTTCCCTTGAATCTGGAACAGTTGGTTGCTGCATGCACTTTTCTCATGCAGCAATAATTTAATGGTGGGTGCTAACGTTGAAAGTGGTAGGATTCCTTGATGACCAATCTTATTTCTGACGAATCAAATTCCATCAATGACTGTCAAACTTAACTTCGGGAGATCTTCCAATCTGAGAAACGGTAGATACTGAATTCGTGCGTATGAACTCCCCACTCCACTTTGCATAATGGGAAAGTACTCCAAATGGATATCGTGAAAGAATTGTGGACTGGATCTTCTACCAATAGGAATGACGGAAAACGTTTCATCCGTTCTTTTATGAATAATTCCTGGTAAAAGCTCAAGCAAAAAGATACCTGCTGGGTAGTCCGTACATGGTAGAAACCAAGAGCGGCGATGACCACTTGCTTGCTTCACAGAGCTTACAGCTGCAAGAGCTCGACAGAGCTTGATTAATCTTCAATAACCGGGTCTCGAAATGATCTTGAGCCTTGAGGTCGTCGTGGTCCCCGTGCAGTATCGCGGCAGATGAAGGGGTACCAGACTCAATTGCGCGATATCGTACCATGAAATTTGATGTAAAGATGGGAAAAATGGATAGATGGATACGATGATAAAGAGAAATATAATGGATCAGATTACCGGAACGCCTTTCCTGCTCGTGGGCCAAACAAAAAGGGACTCCTTATATATTTTGACGGGATCTGTGGGATTCCAAAGAACGCTTAAAAGTTAACAAACGACCAAAAGAGAAGATGATGTGATTACCTATCGACAGTCATTTGAAAAGAAGTAGGGATATATTATTAAAGACGGAGTAGAAGCTGCCTCAGCCTGCCCCCAAATCCCCGTCGATCCCAATAGTAAAATACCCGACCCTGATTCTTCTGATGCTTGATCCATTTTGAAATCAAGTCCCCGATATTTATCCCGGTCGAAATTTAAAGAAACGGGAACCAAAGGGATTCCCCACGGCGCAGGTCGTACTTGGTACGGAGTAGTTGGTCGTAGGTATGCAATCGAGAGCCAAGTTTGCGGACTGGCGTGTAAAGCCAGTGACCTGTTACCAATCATTGAAATCAATATCAATATCAATATCAATATCAATATCAATATTCGATATATCGATGCAATTGAGAGAAGAAGAAAAGAAGGAAACAATAATATGGGATGGTGTAGTAGATACGACAAATAATGCATCTTCATGTGCGCTCTTCATCTTATAGGCCAACCTTTCTTATGAATTGACAGCAGGCTAAGCAAATTGGAGGCCGAATAGATAATTTTTATGTACACACGACTAGAAGCAATTTACCATTTTGTGCCCTGCTGATCAATATGCATCTGTAATTTGTAGAAAAGAAAAAAGTCCCACCGATAGAACCATGTTGCGACGTGCAGGATGCAAGCAAGATAATACCGTAAAGGGAAAGTTAAGATCCTCTTTCTTCTGCCCCTTCTTCAACTTCTCTTCGCGCGGATTGGACATTGTACACGATACAATCCAAGACCAAGAGGAGGTGGCTTAGAAAGTGGCCTAACAAACGATATATAATGCTCTTTCTTGTGCTTGAGAGGTAAGAGCGATAACAATAACAAGAAGTGATATCGATATGAGAGTTGCGTGTGCTATCCATATCTCCATCCATATGCGAGATGGGTAGGTCGAGCGAGATAATGATAAGAAGGTGGTGGATCTTCCCAGTTCCAACTATTTTTTACGGAATGCCGCTGCAAGCAGATAGGACGGTAGTGGAAGCAGGTACAAGTCAGTCCAAGCAATCTAGTGGTGTACAGTGTACGAGTGGCAGTAGCCCGTACCGGTACTCTGTACATATTTGAACAATCATCTTCGCCATAATACTTGCGCATCCTCCACCTTTATGCTGAAAGAAGGGGGGAGAGTGCTCAGCTAGGTATGATTATTCCCTACCTAGTATTACCTAGTTTTACCTAGTTTTACCTAGTTTTAATTGCCTACCTCGGCGTTCTTGCAGCTTATTTTGAAATTATATCATCCTTCCTTTATTCATTCAATCCACTCTGTATCAACACACACTGACAGAGAGTGAGTAATTACTGTATTAATAAGACAGAGAGTGAATAAGTACTGTATTTTCAAGGAAAGAGATGCCTAGGTAGTCGTTATTTAATTTCCCCATTCTCCTTTTCTTTTTTTATGTTACCCAACAGATAGTTGTTACTTGCAGAATACCAATCGTGATGTATGTAAAAATTCTCGTAGAGGAATCTGAGAGTCCGTGAATTGAATTGATATCCTTCAACACTACCTACCTAGTGGGTAGCTTGCGATGGATTCGATCTACAACCTTGATTGGTTTATTATTCAGGAGAGAAAGAAGTTAATTGCCTTTGCTTTGATCTCGTGAAAGTTGAGGCTTGACCTGGCGAGCCTGCTTGCTTTTATCTTACTTTTCCTCACATAATTCATCAAACGAGGGGGCTAATTTTCTATATTCACTGACCTGACAATCTCTGGCAATCACTGATAATCACTCGAGCGCCTCACATTCATCCTCATACCTATCTAGGTACTTATCTCCTCTCCATCTACCTACGCACATACTGCTCCTCTCCTGTTCTTCTTTCTCCTCAAAGATACTACTACTACTATTACTAATGGTAATAAATTCCTCTCAGACTCTTTCTCTCTTTCTCCCTCGCTCGCTCTCTCTCTCTCTCTCTCTCTCCCTCTCTCTCTCGCTCTCTTCTTTCCCCCTTCCTCGCCCGTTATTAAATTTGATTTCCACTAAATCCAAATCTTACCATTTCCCACCGGCTTCCTTCTCCCCTCCGATTTTAGCCCAGACCTAAAAGAGAGCTACAGCCCAGTAAAACTAATCCCATCTCGGCCAATTAGCCGAGAAAAAGCAAGCAGCAACGCAAAATAACTGGATGTTACTTGCACTGCACTACTGTACCTTCTAAATCAATCAATCATCCTTCTCCATTCCGTCAAGATTGCCTCAACTTTCTTCAACTCATCAGATCTGAGCGAAAGGAAACTCTTCCACTCAAGCCTTGTTCCACAATTGAAGAAGGAGAAGACAGACTTGGTCTTATTGCACTTTGATATACTTCATTTTAATCATTTCAACAAAGAAGAGAAAGATCTTTACACTAATACCCGGCAATTGCCATAAACAATCACTCTCTCAAAACAGCACCATTCGATCTATACCATACTATACCAATCCAATCCAATCCCATCCAAATCAGCGAAAGATTCCTTAATACCTCCGATAGCTGAATTGCTTACATTCAGCCAATTCCAAATCTCAGTCAACCAACAAATTCGGGAAGAAGCTATCATCCATCTGGTCGCAACCCCCTACAGCCTCATCAACAATTGAAACAATAACGATAATTATCCAGCTGAGATTCAATTGAATTCATAACTCACCCATCCATCAATCCGACCGAGATGTCGTCAAACTCGAACGATGTATCGCCAGAGGCGATGCAGTCGCGTATTCAACAAGCTCGTCGTGAAGCAGAGTCATTAAAAGATAGGATAAAGCGCAAGAAGGATGATTTGGCAGATGCAACGCGTAAGTAACAATTGTCTTTCAGCTCTTACAACAATATTCATACTCATCACTTTGATGTTGTTGATCTCTGCGATTGCATACTCATTAATAATGTTACAGTGATGAACCTTGCGAGGGCTCAACAAGAAGCTTTACCAAAGAATCAAATGATGAAGACTCGAAAGACATTAAAAGGACATCTCGCAAAGATTTATGCAATGCACTGGTCAACTGATAGAAGACATTTGGTATCAGCATCGCAAGACGGTAAATTAATTATTTGGGATGCATACACAACCAACAAGGTCCATGCTATTCCTCTACGATCTTCGTGGGTCATGACCTGTGCCTATGCACCAAGTGGTAATTACGTCGCCTGTGGTGGATTGGATAACATTTGTTCTATCTACAACCTAAACTCAAACCGTGACGGACCTACAAGAGTTGCTCGGGAACTTTCTGGACATTCCGGTTACCTTTCTTGTTGTCGATTCATCAATGACCGAAGTATCCTTACGTCTTCAGGAGACATGACTTGTATGAAGTGGGATGTCGAAACAGGATCAAAAGTCACCGAGTTTGCAGACCATTTGGGTGATGTTATGAGCATCAGTATCAATCCAACTAACCAAAACACATTCGTTTCAGGCGCTTGCGATGCCTTTGCGAAACTTTGGGACGTTCGTGCAGGCAAGGCTGTTCAAACTTTCGCAGGACATGAATCAGACATCAACGCCATTCAGTTCTTCCCAGATGGACACTCCTTCGTCACCGGTTCCGATGATGCTACCTGCAGACTTTTTGATATCCGTGCTGATAGAGAGCTTAATCAATATGGAGTACGTTTTTACCTTCTAGATGTCCTGAACTTGTCACTAACAACATCTAGCATGAATCTATTCTCTGTGGTATCACATCTGTGGCCTGCTCTGTATCTGGCAGGCTTTTATTCGCTGGTTATGATGATTTTGAGTGCAAGGTAAGCTATTATCAACGTAACCATTGTCAAAGAGAAGTTTGATGTTAACCTCTTGCCTAGGTATGGGACATCACTCGCGCCGAGAAGGTCGGATCATTGGTTGGACATGACAACCGTGTCAGTTGTCTGGGTGTTAGTAATGATGGAATGAGTTTGTGCACTGGATCATGGGATTCATTGGTAAGTCGCGATAGCTTTCTGTTCTTTTTCCCTTCCCATTATCTCAAACTAACTTTTCCATTTCTCCCTTCAGCTCAAACTCTGGTCCACATAACTTACACTATTTTACTCCACTTCAGCTCAAGGTTTGGGCCATGTAGATCTGGTCTAT